AGTCCTGTTCCCGAAGAAACCAGCTTACATTTTATTTTATTTTTTTTATTAGTTTCCTTTAGTTGCATTTCGAACTAGCAACTTGTACTCTCGATGAAACGTGATCACTTATGATTACTTAAAACTACTTAGTGTGGATGAAAAAATATTAGCATACTCGGTTCTCTTATGGTAATTGTGACTAACACTTTGAACGATTTTTATATTTTTTATTATACTTAAATATGTGTGAATTTATTTTTCTGCTTTAAAAGTAATCTTAAATGGAAAGCATTAAACTAATATGGACATAATGTGTTCATATAATAGGACCATATAACTTTCTATCATAAATTCTTCAGGGTTCTTCGTTTCAAGCTATTTAAAGAACAATATTACACCAGTTAACCAGGCAATATACAACGAAACACTTGATAGCTGACTCATCTACTCGTTAATATTAACGATTGATAAATTGTCACGAGGAAATATTTAACCATTACCTGCCGGTACAAATATGAGATCAAGAGACAAAGGAAAAAGGAAGTGATTGAAATGAAACAAGGTCTTCGAGACGATGAATCGTCTCCGTGGATTTTCTGAAAATCGCAGATCACCTGGCTCGACCAACGAAAGGAAAAATAGAGCTGGATCAGCTGTGCAGTTGGAAAGGTCGATGAGTTTGTTCCAGCGTTGGATTTCGAGGTCGTTCACTGGTCGAAAAGGCAAAAAGAGAGTGCGAGTTGGTCGAAGCGAGATAGTAGAGGAAGAAGAAGAAGGGAAAGAGAAAAACAGCGTTCTTGCCAAGAGTTCTCGGTAACCCTGAAGTCAGTCTTTGTGCCATCGGATAGCCACGAACGTGGAGGTGCACGCCTGTAGGAATGCAAATCGCAAATGCACCGAGCGTACGATGCAACCGATGCCCATTCAATTCTACCTCTTTCTATCTTCTTACAACCCTCTTTACCTATTGTTACCAGTTTTATTGGTGATTTAGATGATGCAGGGCTTCGAGATCCTTTGAACGTCGCCTTTGGATGATGATTTCGGAGATTTTAAGGGACCATTTAAGTGAAAGTTAGATTAACGGCTCAGGTAGTTTCACTAATTCAAAATTATTATGCTTAGAAAGCTTAGAAAATTTATAAAATAGATAATAAGATTACTAGAATAGTTTTAAATGATTCCCTGAGAGAATGCAAATTGCAAATCGCAATTTTATCTTTCCTCCCTTCTCATCTTTGAATATTTAATAAATCGTCTCAGGGACATGAGACAGACTGGAAGGTTACTGAACTATTTCCTATTTGTTATTCCTGCAATAGCATAGAGCGTCTCGAAGAGATAGCAAAATCGAAAACGGTACAACATTGCTGCAAGGAATATTTAATTAGAGTATCTAAATTTAACACCTATCATAAGATGGAAGTTGGTAGTCTGAAATACTAATTAGTAGTGCATCAATTTTTCAAATTAACAATCGATTCCACCAACCTTGCCATCATTTTATTAACACTTGCAAGTTTCCTTACAGAAGAATTAAATTAAGTTCCTTAACCCAGATTTTCTAAATTGGAATTGATCCTATTTGATCTCGGGATTAGCCAAGGCTCGTTGAATTCAATGAAAAACCGTAAGAGTGTTACTCCAAAATGGTATTTCAACTAAAAAGTTGACTTTTAAATATTGTATTACATTCCTTGCGAGGAATGTTTGATACACTTTTATGGAACATTCTTTGTGTTTAATGAAATTCTCATTTTTCTATGGTATGTGCAATTTAAGTAGATACACTGAATTATTTCTTAGCTTATAAGATAGTTGGCATGCTTTGAAATAATTCAAGATGCTTTTCATTAAAATTTTCATTAGATCTGTTTTTCATAGACATTTTTTCAATTTTTAATAATTATGTAACCGCGTAATGGGAACGTAAGGTGTGGTAAAGAAGATTGCGTAAAAATCTGAGTAAACTAAAAATGTTTATATTTAATTTATTTTTATGCCAAGTTTTATTTCAAGCATACAATTTTATTGTATTGATGACGGATTTAAACAATGATCCTCAGTGAACTTCATAAACAACAGCTCTCAGTGTGTAAGATGTTATTTTTAAAAGTAGAAAATGATAAATATTTAAAAAAGGACTTGACATATTCTTACAATAACGTTTTCTAAAAAATTGAATAAGTATATTTGAGTAATGATAATCGAAAATAGAATTCACTTCTGTTCTTTTTTTTTTAGTGAAGAAGAATGTTTTATTTAGAATTAAAAAATATAACAATTCATGATTCTGGTCCCTGTCTTTCAACACTCTTCGTTGTTTATTTTGCAAATTTACAGTGCATAAATTTCTCAGGAAATTTTCAATCATTTATTTGTTCTATCGAAGTTACTCATTTCCATTGACGTTTTATGGAAATTCTGATCATACGTATAGACACGAGAATTTGCTTTTCTTTTCTAAAAAAAATTTACTATTTACAAATGAATATTGCCAAGTTACACAAAGATTTCTTCTAAAATCACTAACAAAACTTCAACTTAACTTGCTACACTTACTGTGTATTAATAATACACTAAGCCTATTATTAGCTGCAGACAATTTCGCTCAAATTTCCTCGACGAACGTTTTCACCACCATCCCAATTATAACTTTGCAAAATTACTAAATTCTTTTATCATTCTACTATAAACATTTCTTCGGGAAATAAATTTTGCTGCTGTTCAGAATATTTTTTCACCCTTCATTTTTAGCCTAAATTAAATGAAAATTCAATATCTTTTATTTCCCAAGAACCCATAATTTTTCTTTTGCCTGTCGCCATCGAAGAACAAAAAAGGACGTATTTCTCAAGGTAGCAACTGTTCCTTCTTTTTTCTTTCCCTGTAAAAATGTGTTTAAAATGTAAAAGGCACAAAACGTGGTCGGTAAAGGAAAGGAGGATCGACAATAAGACGGATTTCCACATGGTCGATAAATTTCCTTCACCTGCCTCCCTCTCTTGTTTCTTCGCTTTCGTTCCCGCTAGTCTTGCTTCTGAATGAACGAAGCAACGTTGTTAAAGGTAAACCTCTTTTTTCCTCAGGTTGGTTTACACACGCGAGCAACAATTGCTGTTCACGACTGTCGTAATCCACTGAAGCTGATGACAGCTGAAAGCACGCGTTGTCTTTTGCTTTCTTGGAATGAATACGGTTGCATCAGGTGCTTGCTTTCTTATTCAATTCCCTTTTTTCTATTGTTGCTGAAATGTCCATGCTATTTTCATGCTGCTTTCCGAATTATTTGGTGAAGTTCATGGTGTATTCTTCTATGTTTCTTTCAAACGTCACAAATTTGAAAATTATTATCTAATTATAATTCATTATAATTATCAGTGATTTTTATAAAGAACCTAGAATGAAATTGCGAGCAGAATTGCAATAGAAGCGTTGATAATCGATAAATAGCACTGGTTACTCTTCAGCTTCTTGTCCACCGAGATTCCTGTAATTAGGAGCAATAATTAATTAGGTCGACTTTCTCTGGCTGTCGCTGAACCAGTTACCCGCACGCCCATTTTATTGAAACCGATGGCAAGCTAATTATAAGCTTCTTAATTAGAGCCGTCGTTGATCAGTGAGCAATTTCATGTGTTACTTCTATCTTACTTTTCTCGTATCTCTTTGTATCGACGATCTTTCCGCGATACTTTAATTGTTCCAGCCTTGCAATTAATCTATGATGAATTAACAATTTCTGGACGTTGACTTCATTTTTTATTAGCTGTCTGATTCACGAAATGTTTCTCAAAAATAACAGACTGAATTTCTGACAGCAAGATTCTGGAGATATAAAGAGTGATTCATCAGACGTGAAGATTTTCAGGGGTCATTCCACCCTAACACAATGAAAAAAAAAGAGATGATCTTCTTAACAATTTTCTTGTATACCAGAATTGATAATAACACACGTAGAAAAATCACTGATTGAATATTTCTAACAACTATCAAATGGTATCAAATGGTACCAGAGGTACCATTACCATTATCAAGCCCTTAGTGGTATTCTAAGGGTTAATTATCTTTGACTGAATAACAGTAATAATGATAATGACGAGGTAAACAAGTTGTCACAAAAAACCACCTTTTTCATCAATTATTCTCACCTGATTCGCTCGAGTTCGTCCACACACGGCTTTGCCCTCACACGGAATTTACGTGGGTGGTATATATTTAGCGGGGGCGTCCCATGTAGCCGGTGTGTTTCACATTCAAATGGAGGAAGTTATGTCAGAGCAGTGCTGCATGTATAAATAAATCGCAACGAATGCGGCTAGCTAATCCGCAAAACCTTTTCGCTATCTTTTCGATCGTGTTTCCACTGCTCGAACGAGCAAAAAGTACTCCAGTAAATTTGAACGTTCTTGAACCTTCTTTTTTCCTACTTTTCTGTGTATAAAATCGTTGTGTAATTGCGAAATGGAATTTCTTCCGTGTAAAAGGATTAAAAGGTCTTTGAATTAAATTGATCTTTGCAGGGAATGCGAAGCATAATTTTTAGATAATTTGGATTTGTTATTAGAAATGTTCTGACTAGGCAATAATATCCAGAGATCTGTGCGAAATTTTCTAGCTGAATTACTAAAAATAGTACGCAAAGCTTTTAAAACTTCAAGATGAATCATGCTATAGACGTCTGTTTGTAGTTTCCAAAGATAATGGCTCTGTAACATTATTTCTAGAATAACTTTACAAGACTTTGTTCTGAAAACTTTTCAAACACGTTTATATTTAATTTACATCGTTATTAAAAAATGATGAAAAATTTTATTTCATTAAATAGCAATGCTCGTAAGAAAAGGCCAATTAATAATTATCACGGTAAATTAAACGAACAATTGGAAGAAATTTCAAGATTCATTGGTAGCGAGAGAGAAAAAAGCTCACCAGTAGGTAGCCAGTTTCATTGAGGAAATAAAGGCCAATCGTGACGGGATGACTCACCAAATTTTTGGCATATTTTTTTCTTTCAGACGGGCCACGTGAGAACGTCGACGGGAAGCTACATAATTAAGCCGGTCGAGTCGTGGCAAGAGAATGACAAGGATCCTCGCGAGTTTTCGCTGCAGCATGCCATCCAAAGGATACGATCACCCAACGCAGACCACCCGAACAATGACGAGAAAAAATCTAGGACTCACAGTTGCGCAGTGATTGGTGAGTTAACACTTTTTTAGTTAGTAATTTTCGAGGGATTGTTAAGTCGAAAATTGAGGAGCCTTGCAATTAAGGGAACAATGGAAACAAATTTGACAAAAATTGTTCAAATATTGTCATTGAACATTTGAGAAAAATTGTAGAAATTTATATCTAATATTAGGGAATATTTGGATTTAATTTTAATATTTTAAACTGGGCTGTACTTTCAACCAGTTGTTAAAATCACCCTGCATTCATGGTCTAATCAAGACCATTACTTTCTTATCTCCCTGTACAGAGTTTCAGGGTGATCCAACTCGTCTGAAAGCTTCTTCGAGATACAAGTTTCAGTTTCGAGCTGAGCCGAAAACGTATTAATAATGCATGCGGCTCGATCGTACACATTAGACGACACGGATGCACCGGTCGCCGCATCCCGTCTGTAGTATTACAAAATGGCCTGGTGACTCGATACGTATCGTTTTATTCATGGCTTGTCCCTTCGTTGATCTCTCGAGGAGGTAACAGCGTGTCGCACGGCGAAAGTTCATTCTCGAGTGAGCGTAAAAAAGATTCGCGAATAAATAAACGAAGCAGAGGCGAGGCGAGCATCGGTTTCGAGAAGGCGACCGGTTTCAACGATCACGATTTACATTCCACGGTTAGACTGGCGTATTTTACATTGTCCCCAGGGAGAATCGGTAGCTCCCTGTGCTTTTAATTAGTTTGTCAGAGACTATCGTAACCACGTTTCTCCGCTATACCTTTCTTATTTATGCTGATTTCTCTTTCGACCTGAACAGGTGCTCCGCGTGAATAATAAATTGGCTGATTGATTTGACGAATTGTTATGCTAATTGGTTCCTGATAGGTGTGCCATAGATTTTCAATTGCTGAATAGGTGATAATCGTTTGATGGTTATCGCGGTTGGCTGCAATTATTTTTATTTAACAAATTTTTTGATTTAATGATCAAAATTAGTGATTTTTAAATTACGTTCATTATAATTTATTGAAACTTATCGTTACATAATACATTACAATGTATGTAAATTAGCACCTTTCTAAAATATTATCTCTGTAGGTAATTGTGAAAATTTTCAAGGTAATAATTAAGCGAATCGAGGAGATCCGGCCATTGATCCCTTTTCTCTACGACAGATGAAGATTTCTCGCTGACACTCGCTTTCATCCTCTTATGGAATCACCACCGGACTTAATTGATGCTTGGAAACATTTTTTCTCTCTTTTAGCCTCGTTCCCATCTTGCTTTCCCCCTTGCCCTTTTTCTGCCCGAGGGCAAACGCGTGTGTACGAATTTAAAGAACGTTAACCCTTCGCGGTCGAAGACCGGAATACACTAGCACCGCCTTTAGCGTAGCTTCGGCTCCTTTACTCGATTTTTGCCGAAAAAATAAATGACCAGTATGTATTGTACAAGCGATTAAAATTTATGAACGGAAAGGTATCTTTCATCGGGTAACCGTGTGTAATTTTCAATGCACGGAATTATTCGTGTTTCGTGAAAATATATTGGCAAGATGCAAATCGTATGCAACAAAAAGAAAAATAATGAAAAATTATAGGGAACCTTTCCAATTTGAAATATTTCACTAATTTTCCAAAATTGTGTAAATATTCAAAATCACTTGAGAAACTATTAAAATTCAGTGTCAATTTAAAATTCTCTAGAATCAAAAAAGTGATCATCCCCCTCGGTGTTGAACGAGTTCGTTAATCGTTCGAAGAGGTATTAAGAATCTAAGCCATCGCTAGAAACAGCAGCAGGAACTGTTTCGCGATCCAGACATTTCTTCGAGAGGTGGTCAAAGAGTTGGAGTCGCGCGGAGGCAAATTTCGACAACGTAATCCTCCTCGCGAGTGAGTCGAGCGTCGCCAAGCTGTCTCAATGGCACGTCAGAATTCGCCCCGGGGGGATCCGCAAATGGCTGAACCTGTTTCGGTGTACAGGTGGTCGTCGCTACGCCACGAGAACGCTTAATGCTTCTCTTCGACCTCTTCTCTTCTTGGTACGCCCTTCAGCTTCGAACGAGATTAGGTCACGATCGGAGAACACGCGGACAGCTTTTCGACGAGTTTCAACCACGATAATGCTTCCTACCTTCGAATAATGCTTTTGTTATCCCTTACAGGATGTTTATGCTTCGATCGAGATTGCTGCAGGGCTTCTTTGCCAACCCTTTATCTCCTCTTCTTCATCTTCTCCTTCTTCTTCTTCTTCTTCTTGTTTATTTTGCAAGAGAGAGCTCTGATACAATGATGGTTGCATTTAGAATTCCAGCTGCTATTTTAGCTTAGAAATACTGTTCTAAATTTACAAATTTCCATAAGAATGGAATGAATATTTTCCATAGAATTACAGGACTCGTGAATCATGGAAAGTAGGGTGTGATAACACTTCTTGCTTGCAGGGCGTATTCCCGTTCCCCGGAAGTTCTATTCCAACCATCGATCACTTTAAATAGATCGTTTATCTTAAGTTTCAGTATTCTTCACAAACATTATAATAATATTGCAATCCGAAGTATACAAGAAAACTGGGCCACAGTCGAAGACCCGAAGGAAAATAAACAGAATAAAAATGGTAAAAAGAAGAGATAAAACTCGAGTTATAAAAAGGACCTAGGGCAAAGAATCGTCCAGTTAAATGGAGGGCGTGGTGAGATGCAAAGATTTCTTTGCACAGAGAAGGCGTGCGTCTTCGAAGGGTGGCCCCTTAGACCCCCAGCTAACAGATCGTACATCGAAGGGTTAATAACGATTGAAAAACGAAGGGCTAATAACGAAAGGGTGCGGCTACACGTAATCGCACGATGACCCGAGGCTATCTTAGTAATTACTAATGATCGTGCTCGAGTTGTTACGTTCTTTCTCTTCGTGTGCCGAGAGAAAGCATTGACCGATCCTATCTTTAATATGATACACGATACCAAAGATTGTTGTGCAATCGTTAAGAAATATGATTCCGTTTGTTGTTGAGGATTGTTCTACGAGAACCGTGGAAATGTTTCGAATTGCCGAAAATTTTTAATCGTCTGCATCTTTTATAACATTCTAAAATATCGAATTCACACCGACATTAAAAAAAGGCCTAGGGGTTTAGAGGATGGGAATTGAAACAATCCATCAAACGGCAAGAACGATTCGGTAGACAGCTCGGCGCCGAGCACGTGGATCTCGATCGAAAAAGCAAGGCTCGATGCTGAACGAAAGATCGATCCGATATGCAAAAGTCATTGACTTGCTGCGATCCTCCCGGAATAACGGATACGATGATCAAGATCGAACTCTTGCCGCGCCCTTCTTCCCTGCTAGAGTTCCTCTTGGAGATCTTGATCCCGCGATCGCGACACGATCGAACAAGAAGTCGTGTATTATTACGGGGTACCAACGAAATGACAGGCATTACGTGCCCTTCCTCCATTACACTTGGATCTGATCGCGTTCGCTTATCTACTTTGCTGTACTTCCAATCCATCGAAACCAAAGTTGATCAATAGATTTTTTTTTATTTAAAATCTGGGTGAAAAATTCTCGAAGGCACCTATTAAGGAGAAATACTTAAAATATACAATAGTAGCATGCAACTCGATAAATCATTATGCAATTCAATAAATCTTCTAACAGTGGTTTCCTATAATCATGAAAGTGTTATTAGAAATTTGAGTGATTGCAATAATTACAGCTTTCGACACCACGTCATGCACACTTGTATCAACACTAATAAAGAGATTTAGCGATCCATTGGTGCATTTTCGACGTAATTGCTCGACGGCATATTTGTACGAAGGTTATTATTAGAGAATCGCTTCCGTGTTATTAATTGACGATTTATGAAAGATCGATGGATGAAGTCTCATCTTAGCTCACCGTCAATAATCACTGGTATACAAATGATTTAATAATTTACGCAAAGGTTACCAAGAGTTCGTATACGAAAATCGCGTAACTGACGATCTTTCGAGCGTCTATGTTAGTCGGAGAATGTTCGATAATTGCTGGAAAGTTATACTGGCCACGCTATAATTTCGGGTGAAAGTTCGTATCCTCCATAATTTTTTCGATGTTCGAGTCGTTGAGAGATTCGCAATGGTGGAAGAAAATGAAAAGGTAAAACGCGTTTAAGATTCCTTGTTCCTTGAAAGAATCTTAAATGACTTTCAAAACCTTTGGTAATTGAACGAATATCATCAAGTATTTTATTCTTTTGTTTATAATCAATTTAATAATCATGCAAATATCAGGCACCATAAATCGTAACGATGCACCTGTCCTATGCAGTTTCTAATTGCATATGTTCATCTGTCCCCATGAACCATGATATAATACATCCTAGGCATCCCGGCACGTGTAAGCTTATAATTTTACGTGACTGGTTGGAATCGGTCTCGACAAAAGTCATTTCGAATACGTTCTGCATTGTAGCATCGAAGGGAAGAAGCTGGCTTAATAAATTTCTTGAAGAGGCAGCTTTATACTTGCCGAGAACCCCTATGGCGATCGGTTAAAATCTACGAATAAATCACATCACCCGTATGGAATTCATCCTCGCCATGGAATTCCATGATCTTTCGATCAATTTAAAAAAAAAAATGGTTTAACAATATAAGGTTGAATGGTTAAATTAACGACGTTTCCATTTTTTGAATTTTTAATCCTCAGATGGCGGACCCTGGAGAGAGCCCCAATTTTAAAAAGTACCTACCACTAATTACACGCAGAATAATTTTTATTTTTAATAAAAAAGATTAATGAAAAGATTTCATTTTCTAATATCCTTAACAATATTTATAAAAATATTGAAGAAAAAGAAATTCCAGTCCAACAATTGAAATACCTCGAGTGTTTGAAAACAAAACGTTGGTTTTCATCAGTTACTCAAGATCATTCTTGAATTTATAAGTAATACGTTGTGCAGCAGACAAGAGAAAGGAAAAGAAGAAGCGGGGAAAAAGGAGAAAGAGGATGAGTTATGGACGGAAGAAAAAGGAGTTTCGACGTGAAACTCTTACTTTCGTACGCTTCTTCTTCAAACGACTGCTCCTCGGTTGGAACGTGTTAACACGTGTAAAGGAACGGATGATTAATTAAACGAAAGACGATGACATAGCGTAAAACGTCAGAGTGAATGATCGTGAGAGTGGTATCGTTGTTTCTTGGCCAAAGGACGAGAAAAGGGCCAACCCTTTCGTCATGGATCGTACATCATCCCTCGAAAAACGCTTAGGTGTTGTTCGCGTTTGCGATTTCATCGTCTTACGATCTCCTTGCTTGTCGATAAATAAATTTATTGGCTACCTCGGTACCCATTTCCATATTTCTGTTCAACAATTTAAATTGCCACCACAATTTTAGAAATTTTCCAACTGCAAATCGGAATGCTAAAAAATTCTGAATCTGATAAACAACCGTCGCAAAGTGTCTCAAGGAAACATGGAAATTTCCTCTGAGAATCAATGTCATCAAAGGAAATTCTAAGTAGCATTACAGGCCCCACCTTCCCAGATACGGTGGAATAAAGAGGAATTCCAAAGTGAGTCTAGCTTCAATTAAAATCCTCCAGGTTGGTCCCACGAACCGGAATACCATGGTTGATCGCGATTACGTCCAGCCGCGATTTATTCCCCGGTTTCTACGAATGTTAGCTTAGGCTGACTAACGTTAGAAGCTCGGTAGTGAACGCGTGACAATAACGCGGATAAAGGCCGCGCAGACTCTGGATCTGGAGCCGCAAAAGGGAAACATGGTACTGCAACGAGACACGAACCAACGACAAATAGGTTGAACGCACCCGCAAGCTCCATTATTCCCAACTGAGCCACCTTTACAGAGCAACGTCACGCGTGGGCGTCGCGACGCGGACAAAGATAATTGTCCACGAAACGTGTTCTCGTAGAAACTGGATTCTTCCACTATTGTGCTATCTACATCATTTTTTTTAATTGAATTAAGTTGAATTAAGTCATTTGAAAACACTGAAGATATCTTAGATAAAATAAAATTTGCATCATAGATTCATTTCCGAGGTGCTAAATTGTCAATTAATGAAAGGAAAGAGAAATGATTTCAGGTAATTCAAGGTGCAAATTCACAGAGTAATTGCAGAGCAATCAAAATAATTCACTTAAGTGATTAACATATTTGTTTCGTGAAGTACTTCTAATAATGCGATTCTAATAATACTCTAATTATTTGAATCACAATAGTCAGACATGAAAAAAATACCAGCAATCTTCGCGAGCATAATAATGGCAATTACTGAGGGTAATAAAGCTGTCATTAGGATTGCATGAAAGTGCATTCCTTGGCAGACCTACCGCAACGTGTAGATACTAGAGTAACAATATAGCTTTTTGTTTGATTAAAATTGCAATTCTTGCGGTCAAATATATGTACCTGATCGAAGGTAAATAGCGATGATAATTGATCAAATTATTAAATGATACGGTTAATTCGGTTTTAGCTTACGCTTAATTGGGATGAATTTATTTGTATATTCCAATACAGCAGAACTCTGTTTGCATGAACGGTTTCAAGCATGAAATGGTTTGCATTTCATGGTTACGATCAACAGACACTGGTGTTTATCAATACCGCAATCTCGACACGCTGAACCATGATGCACGCACACATAACGATCAGATGAATGCTTAATCGATGCAAGCTAATCGATTTAACGAAATCATTAAGCAACCGCTCAGCCGTGATTCACTGACTTGTATACGATTACCAATAATCGCGTAACTCTTTTTCCAGTTAAAAATTGTAAAATGAAACGAATAGGAAAAGATTGATGAAATATTCCAGGTATAATTATTCCAATGAAATAATTAAAATTGTTAAACTTTCCTAACGATTTTGAAACTATGAATTTAAGATAGTAAAATGATGTAAGAACATTGAAAACTCGTTGATGTGATCAAGGTAGGGAAGAAAATGAATCGGTGAGCACAGACCAGATAGGCGTCCACGAAAGGCACGAAGGACACCGAGATGAATCGTGAAGCTGTCAGAACGTATCGATTTCTCTCAAAGTGTCAACTGCACATTCAATTAGACGCGTATAATCATTAACCATGATTCTTCGACGATACTCCGTGCTATATCAAGAACAGTTGAGCTTTGTTTCACTCGAACCCGACTGCCCCTCCTCATTCACCGTCAGACAAAGAGATTTTTGTCTTCTGCTTTTTCTATTTCGAAAACAGTACCATTCCAGTGTCTATAATAATTATGAAAAGCTGCAATTAAGATTTTTTAAAAAAACTTTACGATTTATGGGGCTCCGGATACTTCTATGGTGTCTGAGAATTTGAAAAAGTACGGAATTTCTTAACAGAAATCTTTGTTTCCTGGTTCGTGTATTCCAGAGCAATATTTGCTATATTAACAAAAAATTATGTACCTTCCTTTTTATACTGCATAGGACACTAATCGACTAACCAAACATTATGCTTTTTTTTTCCAGATGACGACACACCAACGCCCATTTTGGACGACATGGACGGAAGTCAAATTTATGTTGGTGGACGAACACGAAGACGTAGATCACTGACGGAAAAGACGGCTTTGGATCATTCCCAAATCAACGAATCGTACGAACAATTTATAGGAAACAACGAGGAGCATCGAAATTTTATACGAAACGACAGGTGATATACCGAATTTTATAATAATTATATTCGATCGCAAGTGTACTTGGGTGATCCAGGAACTAATAGTCATAGATTACAAACAATCCCAGCTAACAAACAGTCAATTAACGGTACGTTTCAATGAAGTATCTGATGTGACAGAAAGTAATCGTCATGAAACAGTTACTAAATGACTACCTTCAACCAAGGCAGAGACTGATTATGGCATTAATCCTTGCCTGTTTGCGTCACGAGAAGCAATCATATATCACGTGTTCTTGTACTTACTTTTGGCGGATCTTTCATACGTTCATCGGTTGCATTATTGAAAAATTACATGTTTCAACTTTCACGACTTTCTCGAGAAATAATGTTACAAAAAAGTATTGGATACAATAACTGTTCAAAATCATACGTTTCATCAGGATGAAATTTTATCCAAAAAGAATGCTTTTTGGAACCCTTTGACCCCGCGTATCAGTCACGCTCTCGAATCCTATATTTTGCTTTGAATAATTTAAAAAAATTAATTAAGTATTTGCATCAAATGTTGCAGATACTACTCGGTGGAAAGGAGACGAAACGAAGCGAGCGAAGAGTACAGTCAAGACTCGGATATGGAATCGGATCCCTTCGTGACTTGGAGACCACGAAGAGCCTTGCCACGTGAATATTTCATCGAGATCATGGTGGCGGCTGATGCCGAGATGGTCAGGTACCATGGAAAGGGTTTATTCAGCTACATTTTGGTGCTGATGAGTATGGTAAGCATTTCCATCATTTTCAATTCACCCAAAACATCTCCCACGCTTCTGAATTTTTCAACCCCCCACATTAAAGTTACACTTATCAATAAACACGAGTACAGAGCTCCATGAGAATTGAAATAAAAACAAAGATAAAATAAAAACCCGAAGATACACTCTGCGCGTCGGTCAAGTATTTATTACGGCACATAGGTCTAAGGTCCGTTTGAAGAAGACGGAAAAAGAGAATAAAAATGAAGAAAGGTCGACAGCCGGCGTGGGTGTATCACTTTGTTCGAGCACGGTTTTCGGTGAGGAAAAAAGAGAAGAACGTAGGTACTAAGAGCAAGCAGGATTAAAAGAGCTGAGGATCCACGAAACAGAGCCGCAAAGGTGGTTATGTTCGTAGGATGATCGATCTTGTAAGGCCAGCAGGATCTGTCGCGAGCGTTAAATATTATGCAAATGCGGCTGTTGCGTTCCTAGTTGGTTCTCAAAGGTCGTAAAGGTAGCACGACCGCTTTCGATCATCAGTCATCCTCCAAAGCAGTGGTACTAATTCAATTATCAGTGGAAAAAATCAACTATCTACAAATTGCGATTCTTTTTCATGGCATGTCAAAAGGACAGCGTTACAAATGGGAGAATTTTAGTATTCTAATAAAAAATGAATCAAACGTTTAGTGAAATAATCATGGACATATTGATGAAAGTACTTTCCTTCTTTTATTGACACGAATATAAAGTAGAACATTTACTAAGCGGTGCTAGGTTGATGATTATCTATTGTAAGCCCGTAAAGCAGGCTTTGTAACGAAATAGATTACCTTCCTGACTCTGTTAGGCGCCGCTTGCGAAACCAGATCAACGTGCATAAATTACGACTTCACGGTTCGCGAGTGGGAAAAGTGTACCGGGTGGTGCACGAAAGAACCTACAATTAGTGGGACACATCCCACGTATCTTGCTATTTAAAGATCCTCTACCTCTAAATAATTTCAGTGAATATTTTTTAGAAAGACTCTTTAACCATTTAGTATTACTTAGGGGTAGCGTTAATTAATTATCTATCAACTCCAAATTAAAATTGCTAATTTCGTGTCATTCCATATAGAAGCTTCGAAATATAATTTTCTCAATAATCTCCAAATATAAAGTTACAAATTCCTTCAGTTTCATAAAATATCCAATCAATAATATTGAAATGGATCCTAGATGGGAATAGAAAAAATGTGTAGAAATGTAGAGTAGCAGTAAAGGAAACTCGATCGTGGCTTGATAAATGAATGATTCATGTAATTTGACGGTTAGCCTGGTCATTGTCAACCAGGTCATTACCATGCAGCCGGTTGCATATCCCACGCGAAACGGACCACACCTCGGTGAAGAGGGCAACATCCCACGAGGCGTCCTGGGCTCACTTTCACGTGCCCACGCCCGTCATTCATCCGACGATTCAATCAGCTTTCCTGCCTGTCGATCGTCCTTTTGATATTCACGACGTTTCTCTTTTTATTTTACCAATCGATGAAATCTAATTTGACACTGCGTCGAGCGAAAACCTTCCCTGTGATAAGTTGAACCGGCGACGTGCTTTATTCGACCTGTCCCCGTGCGGATAGTATTGATACATGGCTTGCCTCTATGATCTCGACGTCACGGTTTATTCGCCTCTTGTCGATGACATACGGACATTGTACCGGAAAGATTTATTTCGAAACAAGACTAGAAAGAAATATGAACGATCGAAGGAAAATTTAAATAAACAAACTTCTTCGAATAATAAATCAACGGATGATACTTGATCGTGCAACCAAAAGTCTAAAGCTCGTACTTCGATCAACTGCAGTTATCAAATTGTGTCGCGTTCCTGTCTGGAGAAATGATAGACAGGGTTGACGGTGCATCAGGCATAAATTTGTCTGAAACTCGGTCAATCGATGTTCGATGTTTCGTGAACGTTCGTTTAACTTTGATACACGTGCCATGTGAAGATGCTGCGCAATCTTATCAGTGGCTGGTAACGAAGCTGAAAGCTGTAAAATTTAATGGCTCTCAAGATTAGTCGCTTAAGTGATTCCTACCGAAGTGTTCCCCATGGAAGTGGAGTTAAGAAGTCTGCTTGCACGTGTCTTCTTCTGATAACTTTGGATAATATTTGGAAGTAATAATTTGTAAATATAGAGTAATACATGGGTATATTTAATTCAAATAACCTGATTTCTGATAAGGAATTTTTGAATGGACAGAATTCAGGATAATTACAAATTTTCAAATCAATTTTATCTCCTTTTTCTCACCCAACTAAAATTTTGGAAATTTTAAAAATTTTCCATCCCTACCATCCCCTAGAGTCTACTGGAAGTGTTTTTCTCTTCGGCAGACACTTGGTTTGCCCATCACTGTTACAAGTATACTATAGACAGAAGTCATAGTGGTTTATACTCGATTCATGCCGAGCGAAGGAAGAAAAAGTAGGTAACGAGAAGAGCTGTCACTGTGTCGACGTCAATAAATATGAATTTTTTTGTCGCCAAGATAACCCATTTAACCATATATACATGGGATCAGGTTGGATGTGAACGGCGCTTAAACACGTCGACGGTTGCTTACGGTTGACCACCTCCGTGGAAATGAAAAACTTGCCTCCTTACACACCGGTGACATTGCGATCTCCTGGTGACACGATTCGATTTCTCGGTCGGTACCTCTAACCGGTCCAACGAGACGCTTCTTTTCAAACCTTTTTCTCGCGTTTTCGTGCCCTCTGATGTTAGCGCGAAGGTTGACCAGCTTAGCAAACAAGGATCCACTCGGAACAACCAATACAATTTCATTGTGTCAAACTCGAATGAAATCTGAATTATTAAAAAGCATATGTAAAGTCAGTAGAATCTTGTTGCAACAGAGCAAATGTTTCTTTCATCAGATTTTTTTTTATCCTGTTTCCGATCTAATTCCTGTCGAGCTATAACAACCTGTTCAATTACAATTTTAATTATCCATATTGCTACAGAAACGACTGTAAAATTTTTCATTTTCTCCATAGAATTGATCCACACAATACTATTTAAAGAAGAATAAAATTATTTTGAAAGATTGCATTAGAATTTTTACACACAATATGTACCATGATGAGCAAGACATTTGACCCAGAAGAAGTTACACGACATTGACGAAGCATTGATATTGAAAAAAGAAACGGAATCCCCTAAACTCACGAACCATATTCGACACAATCATTCCGCTTTCACCGTATCATTGTCGATAGATAACAATCGTTTGAAACGTAACAGCAACACCTATCAACTTCAATGTCCATGTCAGTCTTGGTGATTTCCGAGCTGGCCGTTCACCAACGTCCATGGCCTATCAAAAGGAACATTTCGAAAGAGTCAAGCGGAAAAAAGGCTCCTATTACCACAGTTTATCTGTCCCGTTAGAAAATCACATCGGGCTGGCTCTGGAACCACCAGCGTGACTCTTAATCAATCAATTACGAACGGGTCGTTGTTGTAATCTGTTGTAATCACTCTGTTCCAGAACAAAACGGTTGTTGGATTAACCAACTGGGAACAGTTGGTCGAATTGAATGCCTTGGGCTTGGTTCTGTCTCATCTAATAAAGTTCGTTTCGTTTTTGTCAAGGGAATGACTCCTGGTAAAATGGTTAATGGGTGGAATGAAGATTTTCTGAATGTTTCTGAACGTTTATGATGGATAATGAAGTGGTGTGGAGCTGTTTCAGAGTAATCTTGTTAGGCTGCGGTCTGATACAAATTCATGACATAAAAGTATTCTAAAATGGCACTTGTGTTACATCAATTTAAAGCTTAAAGATTGCTGAAAATAAGTACATAAAGATTTCGTTGATTCTCTTAATATAAAATGACTGATTATTTTAATAATTATCTTCCATTAAGTAGAAAATTGTAAGAGTCCTAAATTCCACGAAACGTACGTTCATTAAAGTGTTAAAATAAGAAGAAGAAGAAAAAAGAAGTTGAGCAATATGATCAAGAGACAGCATCTTTCAGGGAGATTGGGCGATGCCTGTTGCGACCCAAGACACGCCACTAATTAAGAGTCGACTGTGTGTCTTGCATTGTTTATGCACGGTTATCCTTTTTTTGCTTTCGCCTCCTCTGTGTCTTTGGTACTTCTTCTTTACAGCCTCTCTCCACCCTTTCTTGACGCTTGATCAGGACGCAGTGGAGCCTGCAGGGATCATCTTTCCGCTCATGAACAATTTCGTCAAACAATGACGTTTCGTATAATTGGTTTAAGAGGATATTTTGATCATTTTATTCAGTATAAAATAAATGAATATTCTATCGAGTTACAAATTTCTAAATCGAAAATCATCAAATAAAAGTAAATTTAATTTTATCGAATACTCTGTTGTAGGTGTCACGTATATACAAGGATCGGTCCATTGGCAATCCGATAAACATATCGGTGATGAAAATTATACCAACCGATAAAATGTTCGGTGCCAGGCACACTGTCAGCGAAGGGATCGCAGCGGCTGATATGTTGGAGAGATTTTGTCATTGGCAGAAAAACAACAATCCTGACGAACCATCGCGAGAACATCACGACCTTGCTTTGCTTTTAACTAGGTGCTTGTTATTTATAATTTTCCATAATCCCGGTATCTTGTTTCATTTATAATTTCGAAACAGTTTCGCAGTAATGTATTTTCGATTTCTATCGCGAAGATGCTGTAAGTCGACTCAGTCGTTGACATTAATCACTGAAAATGATATAATTTCAGGGAAAATCTGTGTCATCCCGAGGAATCAAGTTGCGACACTTTAGGTCTAGCTAAATTGGGTCGTATGTGTTCTCCAATATCGTCCTGTGCTATTGTTCAAGATAATGGTCTTGCTGCTGTCTTTACGATCGCTCATGAAATTGGTCACGTGTAAGTGAAATTATCCGAAATTTCAGAACTGCGATTCATCTTGTTCGTGTATCAATATATTTGTATAATTTCAGATTCAATATGCCTCACGACGATGAAGCCAAGTGCGAAGGTTTCCGTAATCACTCTGGTTTTCATCACGTCATGTCCAGGATGCTGAATGCCCAAACCTTCCCTTGGGAATGGTCCAACTGTTCCAGACACTACGTCACCGAATTCCTCGAGTGAGTCATTACCTTGACAAGTCAATAACCAGTGTCAGAAATTGACCCGTGTGTCTGTCTCGTTAGGATTTGCTTTTTCTTCGTCAAACTGCCATATAGATCCTCATCGTTTAAGAAATTAAGAGTTTACTTCAAACTTCACAAGCACTCCAAAATTAAAAGAGAAAATTTAGATCGGTACATTTAATATAATTGAGGAATTTCTTTTAATTTATTCAAGGTGCCTGAAAGATCAAATCTTTGTGCGCTGAGTGGGAAGATATAAAAAATTAATATAAATTCGACGTGATTTCCTAATTGCGTGACACCCACGTGAAGTGTCAAACATATGTTTTGTGGAATTCTGTATAAGGAGTCCTTTGTTCGATAAATCAGGATATAAGTCATGGGTCCTCGTCCTGAGTGCGTGGGTTTAGGAGACGTCGCTTATTAAAAACTTGTCCTAAAAATTAAATATACCTAATCCTCAGACAGAAGAAATAAGTCAATTATAATTAAATTATATCTGAAATTCATAAACGATTAGGAAACAGATTTTAGGTCACTTCTGACACAATTTCATGACATAAAATAATCTGAAAAAGATACTTATGGCACATCAATTTAAATCATAAAATTTAACAAAAATAACTGCATAAATTTTTCATTGATATTCCTAATACAAAATAGCTGATTGTCATTTACAGCAAACAATGCATCACAATGAAACTCGTATATTGTTCCTTTATGAATTTCAATAAGAACATTCCACGAGGAAGGCTATTTATAATTTACAAAAAATACCATCTAATAATCATACAATACTCTGTTAATTAAACCATCCACCTCACGTGCACCAACCTGGTGGCATCTGAATTTCCGTGAATCCCTCTTCCCGAGAATGAAGTAATAAAGCAAGGAACATAGATGAAGAATCCTTCTAGTTGCCCATCAGTGTTCCAAAGGGCAGTATTTAAGAATTAGCCCACGTCAGTCAACGGATTGAATTGAATCGAGAAAGCCGGTGGCGCGGGTTTTTCTGCAACGCCAGAGGAAGGCGACTCGTTGCTTAGGAATCCGGTTCCGCTGCATTCTGAATGACCTGCACGCACTCACCAGCTCCATTCGTTTCCGACAAAAATTTGGTCCTCCGATGATGCACACCCGTCGGTGCCGAAGGGACCGGGAACGAGGTACAAACCTGTCGAAATTTGTTCCAGGGCCGGCTACGGTAACTGCCTGTTGGACGAGCCAGATATAACAATGGAAGGGGAAGACGTGAGCAGACTTCCTGGAGAAGATTTCTCTGGTAACAAGCAATGCGAACTCGTGTTTGGACCCGGATCATGGATTTGTTCCGACATGGTAAGTGACGGTAAGTCACCTATTTTTATAAACATACGTTTATTTATTTTTGATAATTAATGAACGAGAGGAGGACCAAAAGACTTGATCGATTAACGGTTGGAAGGTCGACTGATGAAGGATCACTTTTGATTTATGACTAATTATACAGAATTGTAAATTCCAATATTCCAGTTTAGTTGATTTTCCATTTTAATATATTAGACTTCTTGAAAATTGAGATAAACTGAGCAGTTGGTTGGTTATCGGCCAGGAAGTGTGCAAGACATTATGGTGCCACGTACCGCATAGTGTGAGATGTCGTACCAGTTATTCCCCATGGGCTGATGGGACGGTATGCGGCGAAAACCGATGGTGTCATCGAGGCAAGTGCGTATCCCGTATAAATCTGCAACCGGTGGATGGCCAATGGGGCGAATGGGGACGTTACGGGGAATGCTCGCGTACCTGCGGTGGCGGTATCAAGAAGAAATATCGCGAGTGCAACAATCCTCCTCCGCAAAACTATGGGAAATACTGTGTCGGTGAACGCGTCAAGTATCGTAGCTGCGCCACCAAGGAGTGTCCAGGAAATCATGATTTCAGGTATTCTAAGATCCTAGATAAAACGAGGAACGATTTGTTTTCTAGTCGAAATTTAGGAAAAATAAAAGTAAAAGTGTTTCGTTTCTATCGTTTCTACCTGTAGAAATGTAGAAACATCAACGTTTAAACAGACTCATACTTCTCTGTCAGTTCATTTCAATGCAGATTCACGTCACTCAGTAACTCACTTTATTACCACTTTAATATACCAGTCCGTACGTTTCAAATGAAAATAGATGGGTAGAAAAATATTCAATCCTAGATCCTTGATATCGAACCCTATCCAACCATCATTCACCTCCTGCTGTTCCAACAAGCTCATCGCATCTCGTTCACGGTAGATTGCACAGAATAACATAGGATCGTAGAAATGCATAAGAATTTCCACTTACAGGGAACAGCAGTGCTCGCAATTCGACAACAACAACCTGAACATACTGAACCTGACCAAAGACGTTAAATGGCACGCGAAGTACAGGGGAAGTAAGGACACACCTCGCGCGCTGATTTCCAGTTTTCTCGTACTTTTGCCGCGGCTAACGTTTCTTCCTTGTTCCAGTATTGCCTCCGGAACGTTGCAAATTGTACTGCCAAGTGGCGAGCAATCAGTATTACATGCTACGAGAGAAGGTGATCGACGGAACACCATGCGGACGGGACACCTTTCACGTATGCGTGAATGGACACTGCAAAGCAGCGGGATGCGATCACGTTTTAAACTCGACCGCGGAACTGGATATCTGCGGGGTTTGCAAGGGTGACAATTCCACTTGCCAGAGGATCACTGGATCTTATAATTCTACGGAGTTCGGGTACACCAGGGTGGCGAAGATTCCTGCCGGAAGCAAGGATATCGATATCAGGCAACACGGATGGCTAGGGATGGGTGACGATAACAATTACCTTGGTACGATTTTCTTAGTTGTCAGTTGCGTTTATTACCATGCTAGATGGTCGTGTACAGTACAGGAAAATCTAACAATAATTATTTGGAAGAAAATTATCAAATTAAGGAAGAACAACTTAAATATTGAAAATTAAAAGGGCAATATATAATTTCTTCAGCTCTACGACTTGGAGAAGGTGGTGAATATATACTAAATGGTAACTTCATGGTGATGCCTCAGAAGATTATTATTCGACCTGGCCTCACCATCGAGTACAGTGGTCCTGTATCTCCTGTTGAACGTCTCAATACCTCCGAACCAATTGACACTGACTTAATTTTAGAAGTAAGCTATAAAAAATCAAATTTTCACTGTTTCAACTCACAATAAATTAATTGACTGTTTTAAGGCTTTCTTTTTTTAATATTAGACCTCTAATTTGTTTTTTCAAATGAGTAAGGATAGTGCCCTGTTGCAGGTATTATCAGTGTTTAATTTATACCCACCACAAATAACATACGAGTACACAGTGCCTAAGCACATTTTGCATAGTTACACATGGATCCTTAGCGATTGGTCCGAGTGCACTCATACTTGTCAAGGAATGAAATATAGAAAAGCAGAATGCAGGAGTACCGAGAACAAGGACGTCGTTCCTGATGACTATTGTCATAATACAGAGAAACTGAGAGAAGAAAGTCAGATTTGTAACAATCATTGTACTCTGAAGTGAGTATCGCTAATTTTGCAGAGTAGCAGTATCTAGTATAGTCATGATAAGGATTACCCAACTCTCCAAACTCTTCCAGATGGGAAATCACCTCAGTGTCCGAGTGCTCCAGTCAGTGTGGTCCAGGAACTCGCACAGTGACCTCCAGGTGCCTACAGAAGCTCATAAACTCGGATCATCCACCTCGTCCAATTCCAACAAGAGCATGCGCACATCTTCCACGACCAAGTGAGAAGGAACCTTGCATAGGACCCTGTGCAAATGTCCATTGGAATTATAGTAAATGGAGCACTTGTAGTGTTACCTGTGGAGGTGGTGTTCAATATAGAACAGCAGTCTGTGTGGATTCAAATTGGAGACGTGTATCAGATGAGAGTTGTGCAAGGCAAGAAAAGCACCTGAAAAGGATATGTGGACAGGACCCGTGTCCTCAATGGGACTTGGGAAAATGGCACTCTGTAATTATGTTATTTTTTGAAATAGTTCATTGTTTTATTCAAATTAATTGACAAGTGAAAATTATAATTTTATTTTTTTTTTTTTCATTTCTTTGGATGACAGTGTTCTGTGACCTGTGGCATTGGCAAACGACATAGAGATTATTTGTGTCACGTGGAGAACCGCATTGTGCCACACAGTTATTGCGGTGATCCACCTCCTGGAGTTGTTGAAGTTTGCAATGCTGGACCTTGTGAACAATGGCAAGCTGGCATTTGGAGTCCAGTATGTATTTTAAATTATGGTTCCAAATTAATACAGTGAGACAGTTGTATAATTAATTGTAAAATAGTTAGAGGATTGAACTTTTCTTTATTTAGTGTTCTGTCACTTGCGGCGAAGGCATCAAACGAAGGAAAGTAATTTGCAAACATTCTGATAGATCAATCAGTGATAAATGTCCCCCTTCTGAGAAACCTGAAGATACCACAATCTGTATACTTAAACCCTGTCCAACAGTGGTATGTCAGACCCCGTAGAATTTAATTGTTTCACTCCTCTTTGTTCATAATATTCATAAAAAGAATTTTTATTACAGGTGAATGAACCACCAATTAAATATTCTTCTGATCCACCCCATGGAATTCATTCCCAACAAAACAATGAAGTTTATGACATAACTTTCCGTTCTGGATATAAATGGCATGGATCGCAGAAAGAGGTTGATACGTTTATAATTTCTCAATTCTTATTCTGATCAAAGTCAATTACAATTATTCAGATAAAATAATTTAATATTTTTATTATAGTGTTCCAGGCCATGTATTGGAGGTTACATGCATACAATGGTAAAATGTATTTCCATTGAAACAGAAATAATTGCTCCTGACCATTATTGCGATAGGAAGGAGAAACCACCTACCATGATTCCTTGCAATCGTCATCGCTGTCCCATATGGAATACTGGTGATTGGAGTCAGGTTAATTATCAAAATACATTTATTAATACATTAAACGATTTTCTCTTTATTATAAGCAATACACATTACATTGATTTATTAATTTATTAATACAGTGCGACGTAGAATGTGGAACGGGTTTCCAACATCGTCAGGTTCGTTGCCAAAGTCCGCGTGGTGAGATATTAGCTGATGAACGCTGCCACGATAGCGAGAAACCGGAAATAGTGAAGACGTGCCGGAAGAGTCCTTGCATCACTGGTCCTACGGATCGGAAGAACCGATTGGAAACAAATATTTTCCGCAAATGGAAAGTTTCTAGTTGGACTCCTGTAAGTATTATCGTTGATACTACTTCTTCGTTATATTTAAATCACTATTCAATATTTATAGAACCTACATATTCATATATTTAAATTTTACACGTTTTATTTATAAAAGCGCCTTAACAAAGGTAATGTATTTTTAATTGTTGACTTTTCTATTGATGTTGTGAGATGTAATGACATTGTTGTTTAAAGCATTGAACGACATGTAAATTGCTAATATATAACAACAAAGATTATAAAACAAGTAAACCATGAACAAACTATCGAGAACTGTTCCAAGAGAAATCACTTCTTTTCAACTTGTTCTTTCGTTTATTTAAAAGAAATCTCGTTAGTCAGATCAAAAATTATTTTCATTCAAAATAAATGATAAGTATCGTGACGAGGGTGGAGGAAGAAGTTCAGGAGTTAGGATCAGTCGAAGTTTGGATCGAACAAAAATGTTTTACAGTGCTCGAAATCGTGTGGTAGCGGACTACAGAGACGAAGAGTCGAGTGCACTATGAGGAGAGGAAACCATGGACCGGAAGTGACTGTTAAGGACGAGCAGTGCTCGAGACTTGGCTTGTCCAAGCCAAGATCACAGAGGCCCTGCAGACGTGTCGCCTGTGACTATATTTGGCAGGAAGGACCTTGGTCTGAGGTACCTTCATACCTCGCCATTATGATCTATGATCTATCGATCTTTTGTTACATCATTCGCCTGCCTATTTTGGACATTTCGATGCAATTTCCCTTGGATTGTTTTGGTTGCATTCCTTTTTTCGGATCGAGCTTATCGATATAGTACAATTTTGTGCCATGTGTTTAATCGAAACACTCTTCTATTATATTTTGCTAATTAAAGTGATCCATAAGCTCGATTTTGCGTGCTCGATTTGGGATTCGTTTGCAGAGGAATTCACTGGGAAGTCATTCGATCGTGTGGTTGGAGGGATAAATATATTTTAACACGTGTCTAATAATATTCTTCAATAATTCTTTACCATTTTGAAAAATTCGTTTGTTTCACGCATTCCTGAATGTTAGATCGTAGAAAAATTCTGTGAGAGATTGGATTTCGTTAGGTTTGCCTTTCGTTGGAGGACATCATTTTGTCTCGAGAATTCATCCCATTAACATTCATAACTCTGTGTTAATAATTCATTTACACACTTTTCTGTCTTTTCTGTTCGAAGGAGCATGATGAATATGATTGCGATTGCAATGCTCGTTTCACAAATGATTACCGGCGATGCAGCATGCGGAAGTCATCAACATGCATGCTACCAGAGTCTCGTGTCATTGTTTATTTTTTTTTTTTAACCAACCTTTCAGAAGTATTTATGGAACACTTCATCATTGTATAATAATGTTTATCAAATACAATTATCTTTCAATTAATTATCACGCTTATCGCACATCAAAGATTGCATTTAAATTTCTTGCTAATTAAAAAGTAATCATTGAACAATTGCGATCAATGTTACTCACCTATAACAATACAAATGAAAAGAAATTTTTTTAAACCAAAATTATACGTGTATTATACATAGTTTTATTAATACTATGAAGAGAAAATTGAAAAGCAAGCTTCTTTGTTTCAAGTGTTCGGCACAATGTGGTGAAGGTATTCAAAGTCGAGCGGTGACCTGCCATCGAGCCAATCATCATGGAATGATCGATCCAACACCCACTGATAACTGCCCAATGGATCAGAAACCAAGTAGCCAACAAACTTGCAAATTGAGAGAATGCGACGATAAGTATTATTGGACTACTGGCCAATGGACAAAGGTAAACTTAATAAATTCAGATTATATTTAGAATTCCTCTGCAACTAATATTTTCCAATTTGTCTCGTTTTTGTTATATATTGAAAGACAATCTGTTTTTCTAATTCCAGTGTAGTCACACATGCGGTCAAAAGGGTCGTCAAACTCGAAAATTATTCTGCCACGATGAAACAGGTAAGAAGGTAGCTCGCGTGAACTGTCCTAGGGAGTTCAAGCCACAGCGGAAACGGAAGTGCAACCAACGAAAGTGTTATCCGATGTCCTGTCTGGAAGCGAAGAAGTATTACAAGACAACTAAAGACAGCGAGTATCCATTGATCATTGGTGGAAGGAGCATGTCGATCTATTGCCATGAAATGTCCACTTCTGAGCCGAAAGAGTATTTAACATTGCGATCTAGTTTCTGGGAGAATTATGCCGAGGTGTATGACAAGAGGTCAATATAAAAACAATCTTTTGAAACATAAAAAATCAAGTCGTTGATCCAATGTACAATGTAACTTATAATAATTATTCATTTATTTATTTTAGCTTGTTACATCCTCATACTTGCCCGTACAATGGAGAAAGAAACGATAGCTGCAACTGTGCTACTGTTAATGGCACCATTTCCGGGAAAACAATATACAGGAGGATACGAATCGATCCTGTAAAACTTTATGTCATAGGTAAGATATCCCTTCAATAGTGATTACAGTCATATTAATGTTTATGTGTTCTTTTAAGATAATGATTACACGTTTTCGTGGACCAATGGTACGAATCCCGTGAAATATGGCACAGCCGGTGATTGCTATAGCCAGGCAGAGTGTCCTCAAGGTCGTTTTAGTATTAATTTAAGTGGAACCCAATTCAAATTATCGTCGGATGTTGTCTGGCCGAGAAGGATGGGATCGGTTGTAGAAATTAATAAAATTGTAAGCTTGATCATTAGATCTGATAGTAAGGAATATTGGTTCTTTAGAAAATTGAAATTTGTATCAGTAACCAAAATTGAAAATACTTGGCTACCGATGAGAGTGCTATTCAAATACATTTTCAGAATAGTCAACGGGTCCTTGGAAAATGTGGAGGCTACTGTGGCTATTGCAGTCCGAAACCTGGATTGAAACTAGACGTTTTACCACCCTAGTCCTTAATTTGGGGAGTTCAGTAATCTCCAAGTGCCTGTAGAGTACAGGTACGTCAGAGAAAACTGTAAGGAAATAGAAAATACTTAATTAAAATTATTCTGCAGCTTTCGACAGGTAGAAATTCCACTAATGGATTCGAGCGCATCGCAAAAGACTGGTTCGGGATATACAAGATGAAATCAACCACCTGTTACCAGAACCGATTCCTTCATTTCGAGGTTCAAATTATTCGCTTAAAACGTTACTAGTCTGTGTAATTATTTCCAACAGCGAATTGTTCGCACGAAAAATTGTGACTGAACGTTCGAAACGGACTCGCAGAACCAAGATACAAGAAGAGGCACTGACGATCTACCTGAAGGGTAAAGAATAAATAATTAATGATCATATACATATATATATATCATTCGACGATCAGCATTTAAACTTCTATAGTGTTGTGTATTGAATGTAAGAGCTTTCGTTCGAGAGCAACCTATTAGAATATAGGTTTTTGAGTTGGAAACCTGAAGAGGAGATACCATTTAGGGGTATTTTAAGGGTGCTCGATAAATTTCGAACGAATCTATTCTTCAAGATGGAATTACTCCAAGGGGATGAATAGTCAAAAGAAAGAGAGAGGTATCCTCGATTAAAAATAAACTCAGTGAAACTGGATTTCTTTTCACTATGGTAAATCACAATTACAAAAATATTAATTAACGATGAGTGGTCGATTTCAGTAGCGAAGGGTCGACAAACGAAAGAAGTAGGATCAAGAATAAAGCTTTCGTCTTCCCAGAAATATTCATCGGATTCTTTTACACTTTTAATCCAGTTAAGAGTTCCATTTAGGTATGTAAGTAACTTAATGTCCGGTAAGAATTGCAGTATTCGTATTGTTTATACTCGTTGAAACATCATGACTGCCCGAAATTATTTATCGAAGAGAAAGGGAAATAATTAAGGAACGTTCATATTGACACGCGACTGAAGTACAAATTGAAAAATAGCGAGCGGTGAAAAGTTAACTTTAGAATATTTTATTAAAAATTCTTAAGAGCTCCACAGACTTTTAACTTAATTTTTCTTATCAAATGGAATTATCAACTTTGACTGCTCAGCTTTTTAATGAAATCTCTCAAAAGTCGCGTGAATATATAAAATAATTATAAAATGTGACCGTTCTGCCACTGCCATATTTTCATGCCTTTATAATCTACGCGTTTTCCATGCGTACTAATTATACCATTTCCCGCATGTAAAAAGTACATTGAAAAACATACGTAGAAACGATAGAAAACACCGCGATCGAAGTATTTTCGTGGCACGTAGTAGTAAATTAGGCAAGATACAATTTAGTATGCTAGACTTTATTCGAGATTTTCAGGTGTAGCGATCATAATTAACTTATTAACTCGAGTTCATTTAAAATGGAGCTCGATGGCTAGCTCTGCTTCATCTATTTTATAGAAATATAGAGGGTGCGACAAAATTGGTCAATGTTTAAACATTGTTAAGTGTAAAAGATATTTTTCGATTTAAAATGTTAAACATTATAATGAATTAGAGTAATAATTAAAATATTTTAATATTAATGACTGTGTCCATTTTGAAATCAATAAAATTTGCATTTATATTTATAAATTTTGTCGCATCTTCTATGCAGAGTATCATGAAACTGATGGTACAAGTGGAAAGATAATGATTCTTCAGAGAAATGAAGTGGAAAATTTGAAAACTTATTTTTTCTCTCATAAGATATAATTTTGAATAAGATGATCCCAAATTTTGGGCTGATAGTATATAATATCGCATGTACACCGATATTTTTTAAGAGACAGACATTTGCGTTCGTTAAATGAAAGCAAAATGGTCTCGTACCGGCGTCCAAAACACCAAAACGATGATCGAGTACAAATTTTGTCGCGTTCTTCGCCGAGATATGAGCAATCTCTAGGCTATTTTTTCTTTTTGTATTTTCAATAAGAATCTGACCGGGAGTTTAGCTAACTAGAAGTATATACGTTTCAACAGACTGCCATAGTTAATGTTATTATCGAGTACATGTATGTATATGTTAATAATCGTTTTGATAGAAATTAAAGGATAATTAGGATGATCTTTGTGAGATAGGATGATGCTTCTACAAATTGGAGCGAGTTACAATAAAAAAAAAAATTCCAATGGATAAATGGAAATAGTTAATTAACATTTTGATGCTCCCTTTATATCTGACAGCTTTCTGTTAATCGTTTATAATTTCAAATTTGTAGTTTCACCCTATTCTTTTGCAGCAAACGTAAATAACAAGCATTTACACCACATATATTCAGAACTTTACTTCTTTATTGAATGAAACAGTCAAGTTTTCTTCCATAAATCAGTATTTCTTATAATTAGATACAATTGTTATAAACTAAGTACTTTAAGAAATATTTACAGTTGTCTTTAAAACTGAATCAATAAGTAAAATATTAATTTTAAATATTACATAAAGTACTTAATTATTGATACTTATATGAAAAATTGATATTGATTTACAAAAGGAAAATAACATACAGAACATTTTATTTCTTTTTACTTTCACTCAACCCTTGAACGGCGGACCGCTAAGACAGTGACGATTTCTTTCTTGATTTTTACTTTTTAAACATTTCAAAGTGTTTTATTTAACAACTTGAATGCCGAATTTTAGTCTAAGCACCACTATGTACAAGTTTCATAGATCTGGATCATCTGTGGTTCAAGGGTTGAAGCTAGCTCGAAACCAATTTCTAGTATCATCCTGTAGATCTACTGTCTTCCTTGAGGACATGACAAGAGAAGATTTCTATTATAGTAGTTTTTGTACAGCCGTATGATCAAAATTTTTACACTTATTACATTGGCACGAATCGTGCTAAATAAATCAAACGATACGTTTCATCGCATTTGCAAAGAATACCAAACGGGAAAGGAAAAGAGAATCGTTAGATCTGTCGTTTTCTTCACGTTTTCCAGCAACTCTTTTGAGTGAATAATACTGCCTTTTTATCAAGTATTCTTCAATCATCACTATAGTGTGACCTGAGATTCATTTGATTTTTCCTTTTTTCCCTGTTCTCGCATAGCGAAATGGCACTGTACAGTTTCGTTGAATAATTTATTAGCACGTATCGTTTTAATACTATTAATGTATAGCTTAATGTAAAAATGATCCTTAGTACCAGTGTACGGCAATTATTTAAAAATATCTTAAATCCAGAAATAACATTGTTCAGTGTTCACTTGAAAATCCTCTCTATTGTATTATTATGTAGGTATAAGAACACTTATGCGAATGTATCATTATGTTGACAAATATATGTAAACACTGCTACCCTTTTCAATAAGTGTTTATCTTCATATTGTATTATTAAAAAGCTTGCGTGCATGTAATTCATTTGTTCAGTTGTAATTAGGAGCAGATACAAGTTCTTTGTTGTTTTTCTACCTGAAACAGTATATTTGTATCATTTTGATTTATAAGAACTACAGTTCTCCTTATTTATGATAAATCATCATCAAATTTGTTAAACTTTACTTTACTGGAACAAAAATTTTCGACATTTTAAAATAAATATAAACCTAACTAACTCAGACAGTATCAAATTTACGGTTTGACTAAGCCCGCTAAAGTGGCCGGTACCCACATGCGTCTGCCTGCAGCTAGCGACACCGTTCATTGGACAAGAAGCCAATATCGCGTCACAGTAATTTAGCAAATGCACTAAAAGTGTCAAACTTTACACGCTCATAACTTTTTAACCATTGGATTCCTAAAGTTAAGACTTGCATTTTTGGATTCTACACATCCAAAACTAATAAAAAGCAAAAAAAAATATCGAAAATTTTGGGTTCTGTAAAATTCAGCCATCAAACTTTCCACAAACTCAAATTTTATTTACCTGTATTCATAAATTATGATATATAAAATTATCAAAGAAAATGTTGAGTAACACAAGATCAGTACAATAATTTGAAGTACTGTTTCAAGAACATAATATCTTGAAATATTTATCTTAAAATTATTTTATTCGTTTATATAGATGCTGATGTTCATTTACGAATGTCAAATAATAAATTTCATTAGATGGTATTATGTGCATGTAAAATCTACATTTCAGTGCAGATATTTAATACCATCAAGTAGTATTTCGTACAATTGAACATTTCATCTGAAAAACCAACTGAACACATTATGTATCTTGTACTCTAAAATCTTATCAATGATAAATCATTTTATATCGTATATATCGTCATTAACATAAATTATTACGAAACAAACAGACCCGACCGGTAAAATCGCAGCGATGTCGCTACAAAACTGAAATCAATACAGGACGGATCTTTCGTAACAAGTATACTTATCTGATAAAGAAAGTAAGTGAGAATAAATAAAAATAATAATGTATCTTGTAATGACTACGTAACGCAGGTTTCATTGATGATTAGTTCCCATTACTTTGCATTTGTTGCGATGTAATATTCTTAGTAGGAGATATTATCGTTTAGAACGGTACCACGATCTTCTTTTTGAATTTCTTCGAACACCGATTTTGGAATTTTTATATGCCAATTCGGTTTGTCCGTTGTTTCACTTTCGTTATTCTTTTGGGAGGAATTCACCGACGTTTGCTTGTTTTTGTGTTGATTCTCTCCTTGTCCAATGATTTTATTTATTCGCTCCTCCGATAATTTCTTCAGCACAACTTTACACTCTCGTGTATTTAACCGATTCGATTTCGGAACATTTACTACCTTGGTAAACGATTGCTGCGTATTACTGTCATTGACGAAAAGCATTTCTCTTCTACTTAGTTTTTTATTTTGTTTCGATTGCTGCGTATTACTGTCATTGTCGAAAAGCATTTCTCTTCTACCTAGTTTTTTATTTTGTTTCGATTGCTGCGTATTACTGTCATTGACGAAAAGCATTTCTCTTCTACCTAGTTTTTTATTTTGTTTAATTTTTATTTTTATTTTCCTACTGAATGGTACAATCTTTTGCTTAAACATACGCAATCCTTTCTTTATCTTCCGTACTTTACATCGTTTCTTTGTATGTTCCTTCGTTTCTTTATTAGTCTCATGGTAACTCTTGTTTAATTGTTCATTCAGCTCCTGATATTTTTCTTTTAGGGTATTCAACCTATACAAATCATCCTTAATCTGCATACTCATCAGTTTCACCTTTTTCTTTAATATTTTCTCATACCTTCTTTCATAGCGTCTTATTTCCCTTCTGATCTGATGAAATTGTTGGGATAAACGCTTCTCTTTCGTAACCAATTCTTCGATTCTCTGGCTTCTCGTTACGTCCTCCTTAGAAATCATGCATTTTTTTACCTCATACTCATTTATATGGTTCTTAAGAACATTTAGAGTTATTTGGATATCTTCTCCACTTATATCACTTTTCGTGTTTAACCGTAAACACTCCTCCATTTTTTAACTGTGTAGGATTGGTTCCGCAAATTTCTTTACTGACTACCCACCATAACCTTAACACCATACAAACATTTGGCAACGTAGTGATTAAACAACGTCAAAAATATGATCTCCTTAAATAGCAACTTGTATATTTGCTGTTTGTAATAGAGTTTTGATATTAAATACAAAAGTTAAAGCAAACTTCCAGTGCAAAACATGTATGTTTGGATCCACGAGAAAAGCGTACTGGATGACGAATTTTCATTCCTTCTGTGCATCTTGGCTTAGATCTTCGGGGTCCCTGACACCCCAGATGCCATAATGTCGATATGCAGAGCATCACAGGGGCTTCGGGGTCCCTAACACCCCAAGCCATCGGCCATTGCGCCATCTATATAAAAGCGGCGCAAACTATTCGTTAACTTACCTACTGTCAGAAGTTCAGTCGATAAGTCGGTAATTTATTGAATAGTTTCCGCCGCTTTTGTATAGATGGCGCAGTGGTCGAACTTAAAAAATCTAGGCGGCCTTCTCAAAATGTAAGTTTATCAAATAATTATTCCAATCATTTTTCGGTCTTGTTTATTTATAATTAACATGCAACGCTACCAAGAGCTTTAAAAGATAAAATTCTTCTGTAATCTGTACTTCCTTCCTTTTGTTACAAATCTTTGAAATATATTAAGGATAACTCGCCACATAAATATTTTCCGATACCCCAATAAATTATTTAATTGTTGAACTTTAAATTTTCTTATAAAAAGATGTTTTCTATTCTCAATTTTATCTGCAAACGAACGTAATTTATTTTCCATAAAGGTGGTGTGTACGTGTATGTATATATTTTGACATTAATCGTAAAAATTTGTTTAAAACTTAACAAAGGCCGTCATACATGACATTAATATAAAATATTATATACGCATTTTTTTAATCTACTCATAGATATTCTTTGTCAACATTCATATATGTATAATTGTACGTATATATATATATATATATATATGTGTGTATGTATATATCATATATATGACAACATATATTGTAATTTCTCTGATCTTTACTTAAATAAATAATTGGTTTTAAGGAAAGATAAAATTGCATTATGTAAAAACGAATATTTTCTTACATTCGTACAAGGGTAAATATTCAATTTACATTGGTTGGAACATAACAAGATATTAAAACTCTTCGAATAAAACTACACTGCATTACAGACTACCTTCTTACTTGGAAAGAGCCATATTTTTTTTTTTTGTTTCATTATCTTTCACAGTTACTAAATTGGTGCTAATCAGTTATATATTAGTCTTACGTGCTACTTCGTACAGGTCTGCTAAATTTTACTACCTATCTTAACATTCATTTCAATTAATAACAATATAGACATCGAGCCATAATGATAGGGATAATGATAATCTTATATATATATCTTTTTTATTATTTTCAAGTCACGCGATGATCATCCGTGGCACAGTAATAATCAACAAATCAATTCGACCAGCTCGTAATTTTGTTGCAATAAATGTATTTCTCCTTTCTTTTTACTTTTTTTTGTTTTAGTTCACTTAAAAACTAAGAATAGCAATAGTAGTTTTATAGCAGCATCAGCAGCAGCAGCAATAATGATAATATTTATATATCTATCATTAACATATTTCGATAAAATTATATTAATAATTATAGTTGTAATCGTCATGACCATCATCATTTATATACATATATAATTACGTGCATACGCGTACATGTATGATTACGCTTGTTTACAGCGTGGATTTCTGTACGGTCATATGTATACGCGTATGGTACACGTGCTAAACCTTTTTCATAAGAAATCTTATAGCTATATATATATCAATTCAGCTCACACAATCTGTTGCTCTACATCTTTCAGTATTATGATTTAGATCTAAAATTATAAATCTTTTTAATATAGAAGTGATCGTCGGCACCGCGTCGCATGGATTTTCGGAACGAATAACAATGCTGTTTGTAGAAATTTCTTAATACTTTTGATAAAGATTAATTACTGTACATAAAAGACATTTATACTTTCGTTGTAAAAAATTCATTTTAGAGAAAAAGAAAATTAGTCAAAAACGTTTTGCAATGCTAAATTATTTTGTTAGATAGAATTAATAATCATAGATATATTATAACATTGAATGTAACACAACAAAGGTATAAAACTTTTAAAAACTAATACGCTGATACATTGTATATGATATGTTCCACACAAAAACGTCTTTTTAATTGTTATAATTGCACCTGGTAAACTTGTATACAATTAAGTTTCAAAAATCTAACTGCATCGCGGTTCAGAACTCTCACTTCAGGGGAAGGAATTTAAAGGATGCGTGAAAATACTAATTATGCAAATATTATGGGCGCATCGAGAATATCAAATAACAAATTATCCCAACTATTAAGTTGGTTTTAAAAAAGGAATTTTCTCCTCGAAAACGCACTAGCCTTTTGAGATGAAGACCGTCGTGATATCTCGCGACAAGTATCATGATGTTGTTACACAAATTTACTATCATTCGGAGGTATGCAATTACTGTACACGTTTCTGAAAATTTATTGCATTTCGAGCGACATAAAAAAAGAAATTAAATAATCGGACAATTTTAATAAACATTTCCCCTCATAAAATTATCGCGTACCGTTTATGTATCAGTTATGTTTAATTATGAACAATTTCCACTTGATAAAAAGCTACACTCCCAGTGATAATTAAACCAGTCTACCCAGAAATGTTTTCTAGAGTTCCCCAGTAAATGCGATTGTACTTAATGAATCATGAGCAAACTTGCAATGATCTAATTGTTATGCTAAAGTGTGTTCCCAGCCCATGAATTTTCCTCTCGACATATGTCTATGTGGTTCGAAAACGTTTTAGCATCGCTCCACAATGAAGGGCATTAACAGTCATTAAGATGCAATTGAAAAGGGTAGCTCATACTGTTCGCCATACCCGATAAGAGAGCGTTAGAATCTTCAGAAATGTGTTGAACGTATTGCTTGGCTAACCAAACATCCATTTGTTGAGTCAAGTATAGCACAAATACACGATATAAAATACAACATAGTCTCTCATGTAAGGAAGCCAGATGAATGCTCCTTGGTAGAAAACTTTTTAAATTTTATTATTTAAAATGCATCGATGATAAATCTCATATTACTTATTTATCTATTTAGTTTTAATTAAAAAAAAAAAATTTTAAGAATGAACACTTCGAAAATTATTTCAAATTGAAGTTTGAATGAACAAAACCAAGGTGCATACTTAAGACTTCTAAAACACATCAAGCTCGATTTCTCAAAATGCGCAGGTACGCGAATGTACGATCTGACCTGTGCATCTATGTGCTTATCCAAAATTTTCACCATTCCAAGACCTAGCAGGCACAAGAATCACCCTTGCCATTGTTTCTTTGGTCATTAGTCAATTTAATTTGGTCTGGGAATTCATTGTACAATTCCACCTAAGATAGAAACATTAATTATATTACCAAATGTAAATGCATATGTGGAAATGTTAAAACAAAGAATGTTATTTCAATTTACCTCACTTTCCTGTGCTAAAGCATTCTTTGCTATTGTTTGGAACGCTTGTTCAACATTAATGGCCTCTTTAGCACTGGTTTCAAAGTATGGAATATTGTTTTTCGATTGACACCACTGCTGTGCTCTCTTACTAGAAACCTGCAATATACCAGAATTTAGAAAATATAAGAAAATCATAGGTATAAATCAGGCCCATGTTAGAATGTTCTTACCGCTCTGGATTCTAAATCAACTTTATTTCCAAGAACAACAAATGGAAAATTATCTGGGTCCCGAGGAGAAGCTTGGATCAGGAATTCATCTCTCCATGAGTCTAATGATTTAAAGCTACTTGGTGCAGATACATCAAACACAAGGACGCAACAATCAGCACCTCTGTAGAAAGCAACACCTAAAGACTGAAACCTTTCTTGGCCTGCTGTATCCCAAATCTATTTACAAATAACAGGGGTGTTAAATTATTGGAAGATACAACATTATAGATGAATTATCTATGATGAATATAGTTACCTGCATTGTTACTATCCTATCATCTACCCTTACTTCTTTGGTAAGAAAATCTGCACCTATGGTAGCTTTATACTGATTGCTAAATTTCTTGCTTACATACTGATTCATAAGAGAAGTTTTACCAACTCCTGAATCTCCAAGGATAATAACCTTAAGCAACAGTTTCTTACGAGAAGCCATTATAAACTAAAAACAAATGAAACTTTTATTTTTTTTATTAATTTTATTAAATGACTGAATTATAAACTACAGAATACCTAATATTAATTATTAATAATATTTAGAAAAACAAGTTGGTTAAAAATATTATATAAAGAATAACCAAAGTGCCCGTAGGGAAATTCATGTGACTTAGATAAAAATAAAATATACACAAACTGATGTGTTCAATAAGTCATTATCAGCTATTTAAAACACTGTTAAACCCTCTTTAATATGAATGAATATAAAGTTCAATTGTTTGAACTTGCGGCGAAGAAACAAAAAGTACAAATACCTCTTAAAGTAATAATTATAAATATTCTCTGGTGTAATTATTTTCCGAGCTTAAACGGATATTTTACAGTACAACTTCAACCGCGAGTTTAAAATACAAAACGATATAAACGCAGATCGACAATCTGAATGTCACGAACGTACGACTTTTTTTAGTGAATCATTGAACGTGAATGGGAAAAGTACTCCCCTTGGAATGACGTATGTACATCACACACTTGAAAAAAAGCATTGCACAAAGATGATCTAAATACGCGTTTTGGCGGTTAACGGTTATGATGATCGAGTAATATTATCATGAAAGCATAATACGTCGTAACAAAGAAAACAAAAATCAACTAATACGATATTAGCATGACTGTATAGATAGAAAACAGAATCCGTTTAACTATGATACTTGAAAATCTGTCAACACGCGATTTCGTCAATCAAGACTTACTATTAGGATTGGACGAGTATCTTATAAGATGAATATGACGTCAGTTGAATGATACAAATGATGATTAAAATAATAATTAAAACGTAATTGTTAATTGCGTTACCTTGAATTAGATAGAAAATGGTGAGTGAAATTCTTCTTGCTCACCACTGCACACAAAGAAAATGGCGTGTTATGAAATCACGAGTATGACAACGATGTCGTCACCTGTTCGTCGCTTCTTTTATCGACCGAGTATGATCAAACCTCGATTGTTAAAATCGATTCATCTTCGATATATTAAAAATGCGGCGACGTTTAAAAGTTTTCATTTGGTTATACTCAAATTTTAACCCGTTGTGACCGAAAATAGTAGATCTAAGATGTGCGAGGTAAACTATAGATCCTGACAATATAGATCTACGGCGTTAACATACAAATGTTATAAGTTCAGCAGCTCACAGAAAACTTCGAAAACTCTTCTTCTTCGCCAGTTTTTTCAGAACTATTAATTAATCTACTTCAAATTGGTCAAGTAATTTCAAAATTATTCCAAATGAACTATTGCTGTCGTTATAAAGATTAATAAATGAAACTTTTCTTGCTGTGTACGATTAGTTTTCTTATAATTATGATACCAAACGAAATGTATGGTACCAAAAAATAGCTTTTATTTCCGAATAATGAACAATACAAAACATGTAAACGTTTCATTTTACACTTTTACAATATAAATATAAAACATAAAAGGACTCTTCTACATATAAATTATAGAAAACAAATATTACGTATACGTATAACTTAACATTTACATATTTTAGCTTAAGTTAAATTTAAAACGTATCTCTTTTTTGAGAAGCGTTCGTTATTATCCTCATTGTCGATATTTCTTTTTCTCTTTTGCAATGCTCCTTTCTCATGTAAACCTGTTCCTGACTGTGAATTATCTTTTATCTGTGCTGAAGATTCATCAGCATCTTCATCTGATGATTCTTCTTCTTTTATGACACTTGATATAGCATGATCTCGATTTTGTACTTGACAATGTCTAATTGCCGTATATCCGCTAAAAGATGTGTAAAATTATTGTATAATTAAATAGATAAGTATTTTAAGTATACTTACTTATATTTACGGTAAAGTTCATGAAAGCCTTTATTATTGTTTAATTCGGCTAGTTTTAATAAAAACTTTTCGTCATGACTGATCACAATCAATTGGAAATTCTTTTGATGCTGTGATCGCAATTTAACAACCCTTTAATGTAATCACAATAGATATTATAATACGGAAAATTAATAAATACAATTATTGACCGGAAATAATTAACGTACATAGCTAAAGCACTTGCTAAACTATCTGCATTTTCCTGGTCCAAGTTCGTTGTCGGTTCATCCAGAGCGAGAACTCCGCAATTTTTACAAAAGGTCTCTGCTAAAGCTAGCCTTATAATTATCGATGCTAAGACCTAAAAGTAACAAATTAACAAACGAATAAAATCTTCTTTTATCAGCAACGTTTTTAAGAAATAAAAATTACTTTTTGACCAGCGCTGCAGCGACCTTTCATATCTATTTCATGACCATGTTTGGTTTGAACTAGTTTGTAGTTATACGTTCTTTTTCCACTGCCTATACCTTCCGTAGCATCTGTGCGAATTTCTATGGATGTGGTATCTGTCCCAGTATATACAAGCCTCCACATTTCCTTAATGATTCTGTTAACCGTTGCCATACGTTCTTCATGGTATTCGATCATAGCCGCGTCTAATACTTTACTATATTCGTTTAAGTTTATTATGGTTTCTTCTAGTACCTAATTCGGCAATAAATTATTTCAAATTTACTTCAAATGAAAAATATAGTATAATGAAGAAAACTGTTTATGATATGTACCGTTAATTCAATGCATTTCGTTTTATAATTTTTACGAGCTTGTCTGTAAATATCTTTCCTCAGTTCTTCAGTGCATTCTTTCACTGCTCTTTCTAATTCTTCTTGATTTCCTTTGATCATATTTTTCTAAACACATTTTAAGTTATAATTATATATAAAATTATATATAATTTTATATAAACAAATATTTCACCTGACGGAGTAAAGTTTGTTCCCGGTTTTGCAATTGCTTTCGTTCTTCTACTATCCGAGGATAATGTATATTACTTAGTTTTACTTCTATTATTGAACATTCTTTTTCTAATTTTTTAGTAACTTCTTGATTTTTCAGTAATAGAATGTTATCGTACAATTCTCTCTTGCGGATTTCTTGACAATTAATATCTTGCTTCAATTTATTTACTCTTGATTCTATATCGTTTTTCTTTTCAAGCAGTTCGTCAATTGACTTTTGATACTTTGTTATTTTTGATTCAGAAGACTCTATAGACTTGGGGATTTTACGGTAAATAAATAAATCAGTTTCCTCTTGTGCTTTGGTTAAGTCAGCCAAACGCCTGTCTGCTTCTGTTGATAATTTTCTATCATTTTCTAGTTTTTCCCAATTTTCTTTCTAAAATAAAAAGTTAATCAAATGAATGATTAGTTCCACATATCTCAATATAAAATAACATACCTTCGACTTCTCTAATTCATGAACTGCCGCATTTAATTCACTTTCTGCTGCAGCCACTTTTTTTCTTAATTGATCTAGTAAACTTCCAAGAGAAATTTCTTTTGAAAACAATTCTTCTCGCTTGTCTTTCAACTGTTTTAATTTTTGCATATTGGATTCTATTTTCAACTTCTCCGCATGTAACGTATTTTGTTCTTCTCGAGCATTATTAATTTTTTCACCGTGCGTATTTATTTTAGTTTGTAGAGTTTCAATTTCTTTGGAGAGGTTTTTTAACGATGCTTTTAGCTCTTCTCGTTTAGCTTGAGCTTCTTCGAGGCTATATTTTGTCTGAATTCCTGCACAAAAAGAAAAGAAAATAGCTACATGTATATTTTTAAAATTTGTTTTCTCATATAGTATACCTGCATCAGTCATGCGTTTTTGAATATTATTAATTATTTGTTTGAGTTTATAAATTTCATCAATATAATTGTCCCATAGCATGATATCACTCATGATTTCGTTATACATTGCTAGTTTATTTTCGGGTTCAGACTTTTTCTCCTTCAATTCTATTACAAACGTTTGAGAATGAATCAATTTATTTTCATATGTTTCTATGTTACTCCTATAAATCATTTGATAATTTATTATAGATTTTTGAAAAAATAATAAATAAATATAGTAAAAAACTTACTTCATTGTCTCTAATTCAGTTTCTTCGAGCCGTACAATATTTTCAACCACAGGTTTTAACTGTAACATTTTATCATATTTTTCTTGCTCAGTTCTTAATTCTATCTCGCATTCTTTCAACCGACTTGGATAACTTTCCATTTCCTTTTCCATATCTTTTAATAAAGCTACAACAGCCTCGCGTTTATCAAAATCTCTGTGACACAAAGGACAACACGGATTTGTTTCTTTTAATTGTCTCATATATTCTTTGTAAGCAGCTCCTTGATGAGCATATATTCCTCTTTTGTCTTGAAGATCTTTCACTTTTCTCGACTGCATTAACAGAACGTCGTCAAAGTTTTTGTAATAGCATATTGTTGCGATCTTTAATTTATCCGCTAAAAAGATTAATTATAAAAGATAAACTTAAAAATGTATATAAACAAATTAACATTTTTTTTTTATTGTAAAACTTAACATACACTCCATTTCTTTCTTTTTCTTTTGGAGTTCATGATTCATATGCGTTATCGTTGTTTCTGAAGTAGTTGACTGATGTTCTGCTTTCTGAATTTCTTGATTAATTTTTTCTATTTCATCCATCTACAATTAATGAAATTAATAAAATGAATATTTTATGTATGTTTCACATTACATACCAATTGTTTTTGAACCGTATCTAATTTATTTTTTAGTTTAGATTCCGGTAATTTTGTAACATTTAACAGCTTCATTAATTTTTGTTCGTGTTTTTCCTTCAATTTTTCTATTTCTTTTTCTTTGGAAAGCAATGCAGATTTGTTTAATTCTAATTCGGCCTGCAACGAACTTTGTTTTAATAGCGAGGCTATATCTTCATCGATCGCATTTAAACGTATTTCCATTTCATTTCGTAATTTTGTTTTGTCAAGAACTTCTTCCTTTGCTGCATCTACATCCATCACTTCATTCAATTCCTGAATTTTTCTTTTTACATTCTCTAGCTTGGATTCAATGGAATTTAACTTATTTGCCGCTGCACCGATCTAGATGTAAAAGAATTGATGTAAATTTTGCTTTGAAATAGTAGCAGTTTGAAAAGATCTGTATGCTACAACCTGTGACATCTCTGTTTTTACTTTATTAAGTTCTTCTCTTGTCTCAATCAATTCTTTTTCTTTAACATTCTTCTGTGAATCTATTGTTAGATATTCACTACGTAAAGTATCTACTTCTTTCTGTATCTCTTTCTCTTTTTCTTCTCTTTGTAATTTGTTTTCCCCTAGTTTACTATTTAACTCCCGCAACTTTTCATGTAATCTTTTGGAAAGAGCTATCACCTCTAAAAAAATGAAAAAATGTTACATCATATGCATGTATTTATATTTGTATTTGCCTTGTGTAATGTTATTTGCAATTTGAATCAAACCTATCTCTGATACATCAGAATCAACATTTTCAAGATCCCAAGCAGACAATGCCTCATTTAATAACTTGTTGCGTGAAGCAATTTTTCTCTCCTGCTCCTTAATTTGTTGCTTCAAAGAACCATTGGTTACTCTTTCATCAGCCAACAATTTTGATATGCTAGACTCTTCTTTAACAATACCTTTTAAACTTGTCTCAAGCTAAATAATATAAAAATAAAATAAAATTTCAAGTTCCAAACTTTCTCATTTGAATAAAATATACCTCTTTTATTTCATCAGCTTTTTTTTTTAAGTTTGTATCATAAGATTTGTATTCCTCTTCTAGCTTCTCTAGCGATCCTTTAAATAGCTGTGATATATTTTTCTGCAATCTCTGAGACTGTTCTTTGGACATTTGATACTCTGCTTTTTTCCTTTCTAAAAAAAAATATACATTCATTTATATACAAATTTTAATTATGAATAAAATATTGCTATTATTTGTAAATGTAATTACTTTCTTCAGATAGCAAATCCTTATAATCAGATTCCAGTTGTTCCATTTCGTTAAGTTTCTGACTCATCGGTTCCAAATCTTCATTGATTTCCTCTATTTTTATTTTAATATTTTTCACTCGTTTTTTATGATCTTCAAGTTTTGTTTCTTTATCCTCTAATTCTTTAACAATATATGAGCAATTTTCTTTCTGTCCTTTTAATATAATTATTCTTTGCCTTAAGTCTTTGATATATTTCATGATATTTTCAAGAGCTTTGTTGTATCTGGCACTGTCAAAAATCTCATCAAATTTTTCTTTCAGTTTTTTACCATCTTGAAAAGGCCAATTAAGATCTTCTTGATGACAAAAGATCACATAATCTAAAATAGGTTTAGAAACTCCCATTGCTAATGTGAGTTCTGTATCCACATTGGTACATCGATTGGTTATCGATACCACCTATGTTAATAAGAAAATAGTTAACTTATAAATCCATATGAGTATATTATATTAATATCAGTATCTTATGTACCTCTTTTGTTATTTTACTTATTCTACTTAGAGCAGTATCAAGAGTTTTGAATTTCATTGATGTATTTGATTTTGAATACTCTATTGTTCGACATATTGTAAAAACATTGCCTACTGCATCACTGATTTCAGCTTTGATAACACCTCGAACCTATTTAAAAGAAAAGAAGTTGGATGACAAAGAAGAATAACAAGTATCATTAATTTTGTATAATAATGAATGCATCGTACCGACGAAGTTGTAGTCAAAGCTGGATCATGAATAAAGAATTTTCCTCGATCTGAACCGGGTGGAAATTCACCGCAAGTAGCAAATTTAAGTGCTTCGATAATTGTTGTTTTTCCAGTACCATTTGGACCAAGAATAAGAGTCAATGGTCGAGAAAAACGAATTTCAGATTCTTCGGATTCGTCGCCAAAGTTACGAATACCTCGAATAGAAAGCCTTCTTATTCGTGACATTTTCCAAAATATCCGTTATCTAATTCTTTTATGAAATAATGAAATACTATAAACAACAATAAACTGAATAGTTATAAGTAACCGTGAACGATAAGCTATCGTTTGCTTCGAATTCGCGCGAATTATATTACATTGATCGAGACGTTAGTACAGATCAAATATAATTAAGATTGCCAGTTTAAAGCGATTATCTAAAAAAAAATTATTTCCTTAGAGTTTTCTTGAAATTTTGCGCACAACGCGAGCGTCGAAAACTTTACCGACAGTCCCTAGAGAAATCTGAAAACTACGATTTCGTTGATTGTTCACTCGCGAAAGACGTCAACAAGGTAAAACAGACCAGAAATTTAGTTTCTCGTTCATTCTGTAGGGCGCAGTTCGTTCGTTTGATTAATAAACAATTGTAAAATTAAAAATAATAATTAAATAATTTTTAATAGAATAATTAAACAAAATTTTGCAATATACCCACGCGGAAATGTAAAGAAATAAACAATTTAAATAGATATAACAATAATTTGATTAATAAACAATTGTAAAATTAAAAATAATAATTAAACAAATATTAACAAATATCAGATAGAAATAGTTAAATCTGCGGAACCGGTGAAGCGGAACATCATGCTTGATTGCGCGCGCCGCGCGCCGGTACACGCGCGACCTGTAGAGAGGTCAAATCTAATCAGTCTTATCGCGACTGCCGAAGGATATGGGTCGAGCTGTCAAACATATACCGGTACGAGTTGACATTATGGATATTCGTGCATGGATTTATTAGTGTGTTACCTCAAGTGTTACTGTGTGTGCCTATGGTGTTTCCTATAGTGTTTCCCATGTGTTTTGGAATATTTGTACGGATAATTAGTGCGTCTTATGGTGTGGTCACCCATGTGTTCTGACATTTTTATACAAGTGCATTAGTGTGCTGTGTGGTGTGGTACACCATGTACCTGCATGTGCTTTATTGTGTTTTATGGTGTGGTTTCCTATGTGATTTGGCATATATTTACGGAGTTATTAGTGGGTTTTATGGAGTGGTACCCTATGTGTTTTGGCATGTTTATACGGATTTATTAGTGGGTTTTATGGAGTGGTACCCTATGTGTTTTGGCAGGTTTATACGGATTTATTAGTGGGTTTTATGGAGTAGTACCCTTTGTGTTTTGGCATATTTATACGGATTTATTAGTAGGTTTTATGGACCTAGTAGGTTTTGTGGTACCCTATGTGTTTTACTATAAATTTGCAAATATTTTATAGTGTTCTATGGTTTTGATCTTCATATGTTTTGGGATGTATTTGCATGTGTTTTACCGTGTTTTATAGTGTAGTTATTCCCATATAGTTTTGCATGCATATTTTTGAATTATCCTATGTATTAGCATACTAATTACAACAAATTGAGAGAAAACGTATATCGTTCAAGAATCGTGATTTTTGTGCTTTCAGATGAGTGCTTTGGCCAGTGGAGGTACCGTTTCTTTGACGAGCCAACAGTCGAGCTATGGATTAATCTAAGATGCGTGCCGAGTGCAGTGGTGCAAGTCAACGATCGGTGAGTCGCATGCTTTAAAGTTCCTCCGGTTCCCATCATGTCGTAGGACGAATGGTCCGTAGCGACACGGGAATTGGTTGTAATTTTTATTTTTTGAGCGAGCATAGTGACCCACGAATATCACTGTATTATTTTATACAATGATAATCGTGCAAATTGCTTTTTTGTGTATTTTATGCCTTAGCTCAGGATAGAGTTTTCTTGTACATATGTACATATATAGATTTCGAGTTTAAAAATGTAGAGAAGTCGGATGACCCTCCGACTTCACAATACACATTCTTTTTTATATGTACAAGAATTTATTTCGCGATGAGCGGATTTCAATATCAAAGTAATAAGCATAAATACTATTAATTATTATAACTACTTACTTTGATAACGAAAACGCTCTTGAAATTGAAACGTTTTTCCGATTTTACTCGTGAAATTGGCATCAGTTTAGTATATGGGCTGGCCCCCAGGGGGGTCAGTATTTGCTCTTCAAGCATTGTATAAAGTTCCCTTTCGAACTTGAAATTCATTCTGTCACGTTCACGGTTCTCGACCCTAAACACTCATCATTCGCACTTCAGCCTCACGAACTCTATCACATAATCATTTATCCACCCGCATACGCTTGTGTAGTGAAATATTACCCCGTTAGGATTTTCAAGTTTAAGTAGTGTTGCGACAAATTTTCAACGCGAGAGTAAATATTACCCCGTTAGAATTTTCAAGTTTAAGTAGTGTTGCGAAAAATTTTCAACGCGAGAGTAAATATTACCCCGTTAGAATTTTCAAGTTTAAGTAGTGTTGCGAAAAATTTTCAACGCGAGAGTAAATATTACCCCGTTAGAATTTTCAAGTTTAAGTAGTGTTGCGAAAAATTTCCGGCGCGAGAGTAAATATGACTATACACTGACTAGTATTTGGTGGGAATCCTTTTGGTTTTTATTTGATAAAATTAGTTACAAGGATTCCGCGGCATAAGACCGTGAACACCATCTCATGGGAGATAAAACCATGCATTACTAGGCCTTTCAAGGCGCAGTTTAGAATGTGGCGCACATCCATATGTTCCATTTAATAAACTGCAGTCCTTTTGTCTATACTATGGGCGTCCGTCAATCTGACACCGTTGGATGCAACGTGTTGGACGGGCGGGTAGCGCTCTTAGCGAAGGGGTGCATCCTTTCCTAGGCGGGGTGGGTGGTATGTAGCGTCGGGCGTAAGTCCAGGGGGCCCGAAAACCTCTGTTGCCAGCTGATATTAGAAGTGCACCGTTTTTGCGTCATACTTGCTCTATTTTGCTTTTCAGTATTTGCTCTTCAAGCATTGTAGAAAGCTCTTCGTTCGTACTTCAAATTCATTCTGTCACGTTCACGGTTCTCGACCCTAAACACTCATCATTCACTCTTCAGCCTCACGAACTCTATCACATAATCATTTATCCACCCGCATACCCCAGTATAATGAAATATTAGCCCGTTAGATGTTTATGTACTAGTCATGTTTTTAGATCAGGATTTTCTATTTTAATTAGTGTTGACGTAAAATTTCCAACGCGAGAGTAAATATGACAATGCACTGACTAGTATTTGGTGGGAATCCTTTTGGTTTTTAAACTCAATCCAATATTTTATTTATTTAATCAAATTAGTTACAAGCATTCCGCGGCATAAGACCGTGAAACACCATCTCATGGGAGATAAACCCATGCATTACTAGGCCTTTGCAGGTGCAAGCTTTAGAATACGGAACATATGAAAATATGTTACCATATTCTAAACTGTAGTCCTTTTGTCTATACTATGGGCGTCCGTCAATCTGACACCGTTGGATGCAACGTGTTGGACGGGCGGGTAGCGCTCTTAGCGAAGGGGTGCATCCTGTCCTGGCGTTACGACGTCCAGGCGGGGTGGGTGGTATGCAGCGTCTGGCGTAAGTCTAGGGGGCGTGAGACCCTTCGTTGCCAGCTGATATTAGCAGTGCACCATGTTTTATGTCATAGTTGCTCAATTTTGCTTTTCTGTATTTGCTCTTCAAGCTTTATATTTGCAAAGTCGAGTCACTTTCATTAAAAATAAACCCCCCTGGGGGGCCAGCCCATATACTAAATCGGAGCGGCGAAATTTTGCCGATATTCTTACTTTTAATAAAGTGAGAATATCATCTTTAGTTTTTGTTAATCATACGTTTTAGCTTAGGCATTTCAGCACACATGAAGAAAACTGGTAGGTGAAAATACCTTTGGCCTTGTTCATTTTTATGCCCAAAACTCATTCGGGTACTTAGATGTACTCGCGTGGGTGGAGGGCGGTGGACAAGGTTCAGTTTTAAGTGTAATACATTTTGGCGACTGACAAAAGTAGTGAACCAATAGTGAACCACGATAGAAGTTCCACATGTGTGTGTGTGGTTAGGATGTGGGATTTGTATCGTTTATTAACAATCTTAACTTACTATTACAAAATACTTATCAAGAATAAATTGAAAAATTTTTACATTACATAATTCAATAGAATACGAAAATGAAATGTGTTACTTTAGCATAATGTTCACTATTATTTGTCAGTCGATTTCAGCAAAAAGGTATGATTTTATTAGAGTGTGAAAGTTGAATTGAACTCGGGTGTCGGAGGCGTCCCGGGACGTTCTCTCTAGGTGTAGGCATTTTTGCACCCGGGTGGTTGTATGAGAACCGTGGAGTGAATTTTTGTGAGAATGATTTTTGCCCTTTTTTAAATATAGCGATAGGCAGGCAGGTAGTTTACTTCTGGTGTGATTGAGTTTAGCTTATAAGTAGGCAGGGCCAGAGCAAGCTTTCATGTTTCTCTTCGTATTCTCCTCTAATACGTGAGAAGCTTGTATCTGGGGTTGGGAAACCAAAAATCAAGAGAAGAGATGAAAATGCAATTTAATTAATTTATCAATTAATTAATTTAGCATTCTCTCTTGATTTTTTCAAGGCCAAGCCTTATTAGTTTGTAAGTCGTAGTCGTGGTACTAGACCCGATTACAAAAATGAAGTATTAAAGTGAAAGTGCAGTGAAGTGAAGTGAAGTGAAATTAAAAAGTGTTTTGTGCTTGGACATTTGCAAAAATTGTGCAGGTATGCGAGTAGCGATTCAAGGGATCGTTGCTCGTTTACGTGTTACGTTTTTACAAATGTCTGAGCAAACGTAAAATTTTCGCGAGTGATTTTTGTGAGGCTATTACCGAAGAAAGAAGAGGCTATATGCTGAAGAGCCCCGGCAAAATTTGCCCAGAAGAGGGGAACTACTAATGGCTCTCCATCTTCGGATGGACAGTCATTTTGTCACTATGCTCGCTAATTTGTTTTTTCATTTTTTGTGTTTTTCCTTGGACGGTATGAATAATACCGTCCAGGACGTATTGAACTCGAAATTTGACGAGTTCAATACCCAGCTCGTTGAATGGTCAACTCGCGATTTTATTTCCCCTATTTCTTTTTCGTTTATTGCTTTATTGAAATAAATTATTCTTTTCTTATTGATTTGCACATCAATTATATTTCATGTTCTTATTTTAATTATGTTCTATTTATTTAAAACATACTCTGAGATTGTAATGGTAATCGAAATTATGATGCTAATTATATTTTCTATTTCAGCATTTTATTGTTGAATTATTATTTTGTTAATTGTTACAGAAATTATGATGGTAATTATATTTTCTATTTCAGCATTTTATTGTTGAATTGTTATTTTCTCAATTGTTTCTGATATTAGGATGTTAATTCTATTTTCTATTTCAAGATTGTATTGCTTAAATTTTTATTTTATGTTGTCTGTTTTGAATGGTTTCACGTTCTTATGATTTTAGGGTGGGTCACTAACGTAGCCACTTCCATGTGGTGTGACCTGGTAATTGATATCGTTTTCTAAAGATAACTTTTAGAAAGCGATATCAAGCTAAGAGCTAATACAAAAAGATTTATATATTTTTTAATTGGGAAACAATAGTTTAAATTCAGAAAAGTATTTTCGGGATTGCAATATTACAATATAGAACGTATAACTATAGTAATTTTATAGTTCCTGAAAAGGGAACTTGTATGATTTTTGACTAATTACAAATGACTAATTACCTCCTTCTTTTCGAAGTCGGTTAAAAATAAAATAAAAAGAAAATCACAAAATATGGAATTTAGGAAGAACGAAGTTGTTTGATACGCAATGGTAGAAAAAAATCAACCCTGGCGAAGATATTTCAAGCAGAGACGTTGTACATTGGAAAGTTGGTAAATTTCTTTATCTATGACTCTGGTCAGGCGCCAGATTTCGCCTTTGTCCACAGAACACAGCATTTCTGCTTTTCATTTGATAGAAATTCGCTACGTTGACTAACAAATATTTTTCTTATAACAATTTTCCAGAGGAATTCATTATTGAATGAAAGTAAAAATTTGCATAAATTTCAACCTCCTCGTGGTGAGAACTGGGCAATCGTTATTATTTGATGACTAATTAACAACTGTATCATTATTTCTATGGTACATTTATTAATTATACAGCAAATAATACGAGCGAATTGGCTGCGAAATTTATGCTTTCTTTTCTATTTAATCTCTGTTATATATTTTTCAGGAACTGAAAAATTCAGATTCTGAAGTGTATCACATTGCAACTACAATTTTACGGAACGAAAATTAATAATAATGAATGCATGGTCAGTATTGTTTAATTATGTACTTATACATATAGCTATCGTAGCATACACGTGTCATTTAGGTGTGTGCGAAAGGTGACATAGCATAGCATGCCGTTAGTTGATAGCATGCGATAATTGAGGTGGCAGACTAAAAAATTATTGCAATAATAATTGTCTGACAAACTTCTATTTTAAAAAGACCGCCATAAATCCAAACTTTTAACGCGATTCTAGCGCCATCTATACAAAAACGACGGAAACTGTTCGCCGAATAGTTTCCGCACTTCCTCGATAAATGGCGCTGTTGTTCATTTCTCCGCGGGCATATGGTTGGCTCTGTGCATGCACATGGGGTGTCTGGGACCCCGCGAGAAGAAAGACGCGTGCAGTGTTTTTGTATTTGTCGCCACTACGTGGTAGGAGTTATATATGTTGTTTATTATTTGTAATTATCATATTTAAACTCTATATGTGAAAGTAATGAAAATTACATAGCACAAGATATATCAGTCATGATTGTATAAAATGTCTATTTTATTTCGCAATTTACATTTGAAGTATCTAACCTCGTTTCTAACCTCAATTTCAACAGTTTACCAAGGATTTTGTAAAAGATATTCGCAAATAATGGTGCAATTAAATATAAATGAAGCTCTATTAATACACGAGGAAGGCAGCACGAAGTTTGATATGCTGCTTCGTTACATTAATCCTGCTTTAAATATTGATAGACGGTTCAACTTCCACAGAAGTGTAGACGAACCTATAAACAATTTTTTACAAAGGATAGATATGAATATAAAATCTTATATAATAAAAAAATCTAAACGAAAAAATAAAAAAGCAGTTAATTTAGAGGCGAACGTAATGGATAATATTAAAGAAAATAATATTAAATTTATGTTGAATGATTGTGTTCTGAACGGTAGTCTTACATGTCAGACTATTTTAGAAAATTCATCAGAAATAAAACTAATTATCTTCGGTGAGGAGTATATTGTGAAGCATAATGTACCTTTTGTTACCAAAATGGAGTTACCATTAAGCATTTTAATTGATTTTCCAATTTATCCTTCAAAGTTTGAAACAATGAATGTTAATAAATCTTTGTCAACATTTAATTGGTATAAACATGAAAACAATCAGTGGGTTCATGTAGGAGAAGGATTTTTATATACACCTAATAAATCTGATTTGGGATGCAAATTAAAAGTAACATGTATACCAAGAAATACCACACAAATAGGACCTACAATAGAAATTGTGTCCAGTGACATAGTACAACCTGGTCCAGGCTTATGTCCTTTTGATACCAGACATGCTTTTACTAAAAACAAATTGTCAGGTAAAAGGTAAATATTTCATTAAAATGTTCCTTCAAAATCCTAGTTAGATAATTGATTGCTTAAATATTTCTTATTTTAGTTTCAGGTTAACATCATATAATATACTGGCAAATGTATATTCAGAAACTTCTTTATCAAAAGATACTTTGTATCCGTATTGTCCACAGTATGCATTATCTATGGATTATCGAAAATTACTAATCCTCAAAGAACTTATAGGTATTTTTATATTTTTCTTAAATTGAATTTTGTATTTTGTAAATATGCATATTTAAATACTGTAACTAATTTATATAGGATACAATACTGATATAATATGCCTTCAAGAAGTAGATAGTAAAGTTTATGAGAACGATTTAATGTTATCTCTAAATGCATTGAACTATGATGGTGTGTTTAATCTTAAAAATGATTTAAGAGAAGGTCTTGTCATATTTTATAATCGAGAAAGATTTGATAAATTAAATTCAGATTACAGTGTTATTTCTCAAGGTACAGAACTAGATGAATTTAAAGATGTTTGGTTACAAATTGAAAATGAAAATGTAAAACAAGCATTTCTGAATAGAAATACAATTATTCAGGTACCAGTATATCGTAACTTGTACTACTCTGTCATTAAATATCATTTGTTGATTACTACTTATTTATATCACAGACGGTAATACTAAAATCCAAAGAAAATCCAGAGATTTTAGTCATTGGTAATACACACTTGTATTTCCGGCCGGAAGCGGATCATATACGTTTATTGCAAGCATATTATGGCTTAACGTATTTACACTCATTTGCCGGAAAAGTAAAAAAAGAGGTATTTCAACATTTTACTCGCTTCATAATTTCTGTAAAATGTTATGTCATAATCTACAACATAAACATTAACCTCGGTTTATTTCTAATAATACATTTTAATTCATAAGATATATTTACAGAATCCGGAATGTAACGTTAGCATCATATATTGTGGCGACTTTAACAGTGTACCAGATAGTGCAGTATATCGGTTAATGACTCAGAAACATATATTAAATTACTATAATGATTGGCATGCCGGTACGTGCATTATACGCAAATATAACATTCTACCTACATTCTTATGTTAAAGTTTATATAAAAATTATTTACCTGAAATATATTTTTCTCGTTATAGATTCTGATCAACGTATAAACCTATCTATCAAACATGACGTGAACTTGTCTAGTGCTTGTGGCACTCCAAAATATACAAATTATACAGGTACCTTCTCTGGCTGTTTAGATTATATATTTTATCAAATGGATCATTTAGAAGTTGAACAAGTTATACCCTTGCCTAGTGAAGAAGAACTTAGTCTATACACGGGTCTCCCGTCTGTAGTGTTTCCAAGTGATCATATTTCTTTATGTGTCGATTTAAAGTGGTCGAAATAAAGTATGTACCATTAGATTGGTATTTTTAAAAGTATACCTTACGTTTTTACATTTTCATTGCCACTCTTTCAGGGGGATAAATGTTTACGCGTGTAGTTTAAAATACGAAAATGAACAGGCCTTTAATTATTAAATTTATTAAATAATAATTTGAACTTTTTTAAATTCTTATAAAATTTATGTAATAAGGTTACTTTTCAAGATTTTCAAAATAGTATCTACAATCCAAGTTAGGTACATACAGAGAATAGTTGAAAAATAATTTTTGTATTCTATTCTAAAATAGGAAATGAAAAGCTTATATACGCTAGAATCATTTAAATTATCAATATAGATAAACAAGTAAATGTCAAAGAAATATATTTGCGCATTTACATTTGTATTCTAAAACAGGATTTCCACCGAGTATCACATTAATTTTTAATTTATAATTATCAAAGTATACACCCATGTTTCAATAATACGAAGTTACTGTAGTATTATTACGTCTATAATGATTGGTGTTAATTTACAAAACTTTTTACACAGATTATAATAATGGGCTTTTGATTTATAGAAGTCTGCAGGGATAAATACAAGTTTTCTGAAAAATTAAAATCTTAGATTTAAGATTTCATTAATATTTCCAGACGCTAGAAATTTATGTCTAAATAGAACTGACATAAACTTATGTTTCTAATATTTACGATAATATTATTGCAATTAAAAAAAAACCGTAGGTTTTTTTATCTACATTTTACAGTATGGAAAATTGGTAAATCATTGAACGATTTACAGCCATTATTTATGAGGCCATTATACATAATATATGTATCACATATGTACTGAAAAATATACTGAAAATTAGTACCATGCAGTGTGATCATTTCATAATAATTATTAGCTCTTGAAAAGTATTAATATATTATTAAACATGCTTATGATATTGCTTTTATATATATATAAAAAAAAAAAATGAATATTAAAAACATTCGTTACCTGCAGACCCCTTTTTCTTGTTCGTTTTTTTTTTATACGCGTTGCCCATTAATACAATTTGCACCTATGCTTTTCAGAAGTGTTGTTTCATAACAATCACGAACTTAAAAATCTATAATACATTCTTTGCGTGTATATAATCCTTTTCAACAGGTGTCTTGCATAAGAATCTTAATAATTACTTATTCTCCTAATCTGTTTATAATTTGCTGAGAAGTTTTTACTTTAACAAATGAAGCGTTAAAAATGATTTCATCTCATGGCATTACAAAAAATGATAATTTTTAATTAGACGATTATAATATACTTATCAAATAAGGCAGCAATATTTAATTTCTTTTTATTACTCACGCTTCATTCATTAAAGTACAATGCCACGCGGAGGATACGCGTAACATTTTTAATTCATTGTACTACATTCAGAAAACTGTTTAGGGGAGAATTTCATATTCGTAGAGTAATAAAACATTTAAATACATATCAACGATGATCCTTGTCCCGTCATCGCGTACTAATTGGTCAAGACAATGTTGAATACACTCATTCACAATTTTATACTGAATAAATATGACCAATCTCTTTACAGAAAATCATAGTATTAATAAACCAAAAACAACATAAATGATTGTATTTATGAACATATGAAAAACATCGTGCAGTTTATGTAACCATTCTTCTTTTTTCTTCTTCTGCACATTATGATTTTATATCTATGACTTAAACTAGTATTCAAATGACTATCATAGTAACAAAAGTTCTCTTTTAGTATTAGTAAGAACCAATGTAATACTATAAGAATTTACAAATTTGTAATTTATATTTGCATCGTTTAAGATCACATTCCTCTTCGCGGCGCGCTTGGAACTAATAATTGCAAAGCAGTCATTGCATCTGGGAACAGCGAATGATAATTTACAACTGGCACATAAGCGGCTGTAATTACACGGCCAGCAAACCATCTACCGTGTAACGAATTGACAGCTGCAACTGCTGTCGCGATTGATGGACACTTGACATAAACATTACCCTGAGGAGAGGCTTGGTCCACGTACACGTGTAGTACCCCACCATGTTTATTACATTCTTCTATAACATCATCGCGAATTTCTTTTGCCCAATTTGGATTTGTTTCACTAAAACAAAGATTTGTTCGTATTAAAATCTTCTTATTATTAAACAAAAAGTGAATTTTAATTATTTGTCAAGTTATCTTTCAATGTATTCATATAAAAATATATGATACTATTTGTTGAGATAACATATTTTATTTAGCATATTTTTTCCCCTAGTGGAAAAATTAAGTATTTAACACTAGTCTACAAATATGCATTTGCGAGAATCATGATAGTAACTTACTTTTGTGGGTCGAACATGTTAGATAACATAAAGCATTGTGTTGCTATAGGTGGGGCCGCTTGCGGTGGTGGCTGTGGTGTCGTCATGACAGGAGCCATGTTCAGTGCATTTGCAGCTGCAGGAGGTATTTCAAGTCCAGTACCTTCTGCTAGCTTGAACATTAACTGTAATCTAAAGGTATTGTAAATTAGTTTTTACTGTAAGTTATAGAATGAAGAGAATTATAATTAGCGTTTCATACCTTCCAGTAGCACCAAGATCAATACCACTTCTATCTAGTTCATCTGTATCAAGAAGTGATGGTCCTTGTATTAAATCTGTACGTTCTGTAACATTGCCAACCTTCATTGGTCTTCCAGCTAGTTCGAATCCATTTAATTGTTCTAAAGCCTTTTTCGCGTCATCAGCGTTTCTGAACTATAAACGTATTAAGATATAGAGATGTGTATTTTAGAGGAAATTAATGATAATTTAATACATACCGTTAAGAATCCGTAACCTTTACTCCGGCCGGTTTCTGGGTCCATTATCAACTGAATGTTATCAATCTTCCCGAAAGGTTCAAAGATACCACGAAGCATATCTTCTGTGATGTTAAAGTGTAGAGATCCAACGTATAACCTCATAGGTCCTGTCTGACCCTTTGGCATAAGGTTTGGCATAGAATTGCCCATACGATTCTTTTCAGCTTGAGTGTGTTGTACTACTATAGGAACACCAAGAAGCTTCTGACCCGATAACCCGAGCGCCTAGAAAGAAATTACAAATGGTACAATAATAATTAATAGTGAATTTAACTATAAAATCACACGTAGAACTTACCAGTGTAACACTTTCAGGATCCTTGAATTCAACATACGCTATACCCTTAAACCTTCTCGTTTTGTTACACGTGATAAGTCGAACGTCTTGAACTTTACCAACGCTAGAAAAGAAGTCTTCTAAATCACGAGCACGTATGCGTTGACTTAGTTGCATACAAAACACTGTTCGGGCATCGCGTTCTTCCGGTGTCAACTCATCGTTCCTACTGAAATAAACATGATGCGAACAGTTAAGATATGAACCGATAAAGAATTGTAAGTGCTATTATTAATTTTTTAACTTAATTATATACTTACATCCCAAGAGGGCTAACACCTTTCCCAAATGGTGGTCTCGCCCTGGGAAGTGTGATTGGAGTAAGCGACCGTTTCCTTCTTCTGTCTCTGTCGCGGTCTCTGTCTCGGCGATCCCTGTCTCGATCATTATCTCTGTCTCTGTCACGGTCTCTCCGATCTCTGGATCTTGACCTACGTCGACGATCACGATCGCGATCGCGATCCCTATCTCTATCTCTATCGCGATCTCGATCTCTGTCCCTGTCTCTGTCGCGATCCCGACGATCTTTCTCCCTACGGTCTCGTGAACGAGAACGGGAACGGGAACGGTGTTTGTTTTTCCTGTGGAAAAAGAAATAACGTTTGAATTAGGAAATTGATGAAACTTATGACAACGCAATCATTATGTATATGAAATATACAATAGATATTAGACTAAGTAATGAATAAATAATAACATTCCAACTTACTAATCCGAACCCTTAGTACTAAAAATAATTTTGGGATAAATTAATGTCTGCCATTAATTACCGTGATAAACAGAAAAGGCATTTTTAAACTATTTTCATTCTTACTTTCTTTTCCTTATATTTAACGGAGTCTGTAGTACAGATATTCTTCCTAAACACTTACCGTCTTCAGGTTTAACCTTTGGAATTATGAAAATAACCAGCATTTACACTAATTGTATGGGGTCTATAACAAAGAGAATATAACTTCAAATAGCTATACGTGTGCACAAAGAGACTATTTTGAAATGTTCTCAGTTATTTATGTATAGTCTTGAATTTAAAATGCTAAAGGTTCAGACGAAGTAGTATAAATATATATAGAAGTATGTTTTGTTGATATGAATGTTTCTAATATCTAATGATAATAATATATAAAAAGAAACGTGTATCTATGGTCCTATATTTAATTTTAAATCAAATTTTGGATACTTTGTGCTTTCTATTATTTCATCTAAACTATTTTCATAATTAAGAAATTCTATACTACCAGATACTGATGGAGTTACTTGTAACTGAAAGCACAAAATATTAATCAAATTAATGATAATCTATAAAATATGCTTACCCAGACGATTTACGGCTAGACCCATTCTCCTTGGAGGATTTGTCTTTGGATGAGGAGTCCTGCTCCTACGAACAGCAAACAGTTGAATGCCATGCCAGCCAGCCGATGTGGCAGGGACGCGCGAACAAGGGGACAAAAAGCAAATCATAGAATGTTAGTAAATTTTGTAAAAACAAATTATGTACATATTGTACAAATTTAAAAGTTTTGACAGTAGTTTCAAAAATTAAATTATATATTGATAATAAAGTTTTGTTCATCTGTTAATCTTTTGTAACCATGTAGGCAACTCTCCTTCGAGAACTATGTTAACGAAGATCTAGTTGCTGTTGGACGCTGGTGCACTCTCGTGCTCTTTCTCTTTTCCAGGTAGATTATATTGGTCTGAGAGGGCTGAGATGGGGACACAGAGAAGAGAGAGAGAGAGAGACAGAGAGACGGGGCGAGCATAGTGTTGCGAATGTTTCGCATACACCTGGCTCAAACTTACCAATCGTTTTATCGGGTTTTAGGAAAGCATTGCAATCTTGGGTTGAGCATGCCTTGGTCTTAAACTACCAATGGCCAACCACACATCCTTTTTCTTCTGCAAAAGAGAGCCCTCATCAAAGACAGTACGTTTTTAATGTAACACGAGATGTGAACCCTAATTGCTAACCTACAACCCCTGCATGTATATAGATTTAACTATCTCGTTATAGGAACAAAAGGATCAACAATTATTTGCAGCTTCCAGTAGATATATCGCAAGATGATTTAGCTGTGTAGAGAAAATGTTTCAGATGATTACAGCTAACATAAATTTATTATATGACAATAATGCAATGGAATGATGATAAAAATGTTGCATGATTCTTATCAGAATGATCAACTTTTCAAAACATTTTCTCGTTTAAACAACATCATTTATTTTCTGTTTGCCAATTTACCATGCATTTTATCCATGAAGCGTTACTTCATGTTTAAAGTAAAAACAACAGTAGTATGTTAAAAAAAAAGATCATAAATCACCTACATTTTTTATATCATAGTACATACATTGATCAATAATACACATATCAATCAGGGATGTAACTTAATTTGTTAAATAAAGGTTTTGATTACGCATTTACTGTTGTAAACAACATAGAATTATTCAGAAGAATATGTGTATCTTGTTTAATGCATGGATAGGATAAATTTTCAATTTTCATGTTAGAAATCTTTATAATGATTCAAACATATTTTCATATTAATACACAGCTATGTCCTGGTTTTATAAGTTTCAAATAATTACATCAATGTGCAATTTTCTCAAAAAATAAAATCAGTACAAAGATATATACATAAACGCTCCTATAAAACTAAAAAAAAAAGTTAATATAGAAATAAAATTTGTCAAAAGCGCTGAATACCCTTATTATTCCACCTCTTCCAGAATACATTATGTATCAGGAATAATGATGAAATCGATTCTACGTATGAAAAGCATCTGATTCTTAATTTATTCTTCCACACTTGTGTTGTGAAGGCAACAAGAATAGCATGGCACATGGCAGAACAGGACCTACCAAATCCACCTTTCATCTTTTCTCATATACAATGTACGCAAAGTATTTTCTTAATTCCTTTTAAAGTCATAAAAATGACAGTAGCAATTCTATCTACGTCATAAATAATAAACGTTACGATTTCTGAGGAAAAAATTAAAAAAAAAAAAAAAAAAACAAAAAAAATACAGAAAGAAAAAAGAATTAAGTAAATGATGTTAGTGATGGCTTTTCTTAATACCTCGTATTTCAAGTGCATTCTAGGAACTCGCTGCCGAACATCCTACGAGCGCGAGGGTACATGTTACGTACCATCTATAAGTACAGAAAACGGAGGTATTGATCAATAGTCGGTATAAGACAAGGGCGTACTTTGTTCTACATGTATATACGGGAAGGAAAGGACATTTCTTTCTTCTCGATCGCAACGATAAATATACTCAGAACGGTGCGCACCGTATTGGATTCTTATGCGTCGAGATTTAGGTAAACTTTACAGGATAAAAAAAGTCAGGACCTCGAAGGAACAAACCGAAACATATAAAGAGAAAAAAAAGGAAATTAAGTCTTACCCCTTTCTTATATGGCGCCTCCAACATTGCCTCGACATCCAAATCCTCCGCCATTGTGCGAGTCGGTGAGCTTTCTGAAATACCACGCATTAGCACACGATAATCCAAATTACGATGCTCGAAAAGAAAGGACTATGAGAATATTGTTTAACGTACAGACTAACAAACGCTTTTAATACACGAGTCAAACGTTTAAGAATTTTTAAAAACGTTAAGATCGATAATGAACGCAATCGTACGCGATGATGACCAAAAGAAAATGGAGGACCGGATGCGAATAAACGAATTCAGCGCCCCTCTTGTGAAAACAATAGATTGTATTATTTCGAGATCCGGTTTTCAAAATTTCCCTAGAAGTATAAGATTTGTACTTTTTGAATTCAAAAATTGTATTCAAATTTATATTAGAAAATGTTCGGCATTCTTCTAGGGAAAATGGCGGTCTATGCTAACAGAGTGACTCCTATGAATTAGGCATAATGCCTGTTGGCTCGAGCACAGCTCGAGGTATCATACCCATTGGTGAAGACAACTTCCGCTCCGCTGGTGTAGACCACCATTTTCTCTATAGGGACGCCGAGCCACAAGTTAGATAAAGATGGACCTTTTCCAGTAAGGTCCTCTTGTCTTTGTTCCCCTAATTTATTTGGAAACTATATATATTTTCTTTCCAATAGCATTTTTTACCATTACGATATAACTGAATTAATAGCAGTGTAGACTACTTAAGATATTTTTAAATAAAGTAGTAAGTATTTATTCGTAATTTAGAAACGCCATCAACATAACTGGTTGCGCCATCTAGTAGTAAAACGCCGCACTTTGTTTCAAATATTACAATAACTCGATCGATACTATCGAATCGAATCACGTGATAGCAGCAGATTAGTGCGCATGCGCGACCTTGACGCAAGGTGACCGTCTCAGCTTGCCAGCATTACGCTTCTTATTCGTTGTTATTCATCTCTGAGCAGCGTACGCGTTCGGATCTGTTGTGGCACCGGTGTTTGTGCATGTGTCGTGAAAACCGGTCATTGTGCCCAACGATTTTTAGAATCGATAACAGAAATATCGCATTGTGTTCGAAACGTATCACTGCTTGAGAGTAAATACATAGAAAATTTGATCCGACACTTATGTACATTAACGAATTCCGACAAAATTTCCCACATAAATAAGAGAGACCGAAGTTGAATTAACTTTAAAGTGTTTGAATGCAAAGTTGATCTTGTGTCAAATAAGCACGAAATTATAGATCGTAGATCGATAGATACCAAATTCTAAGTAAGAAACTAAAGCACAAAGAAATGTCAGCCTCAGAAGTGGATCACGAGAAGAGGAAACAAATTTCTGTGCGCGGAATTGTTGACGTAGAAAATGTAGCGAATTTTAAGAAAACATTCAATAGACATCTACACTACACTCTTGTTAAAGATCGTAACGTAGCTACAAGTAGGGATTATTTCTTTGCCTTGGCACACAGCGTCAAGGACAATTTGGTCTCGAGATGGATACGTACTCAACAATATTATTACGAAAAAGATCCGAAGGTAAGACCCTAATATGTATTGATCACTTACTGAAATTATTTCAGTAGTCCATCCATTTCATTTATATCTTTCATTTCCATATCGTATATAATAAATATAATGTATTAACAAATTTACCCCCTTAACTACTGTCGGTAAGTATAATTTCCATAATTATTTAATTCACATTTTTTAATAAAATAACATCTCATTCATGTAATGCACACTTGCCTATTCCGTTTCAAAGCAATTAACGTAAACGTAATACTCCGCAAATCATACGTTTATGTATCAAATATGTTTATTTCTACTTATTGCTCATAAATAATCTTTCTAAACTTATTCGATAATATTGCATAATATGTAGAGGTCTTCGGAGACAGTGATTTCTTGTTATTTGTCTGTTAGATAACGAGATTTCGGCAGTGTCTCGCCGGTCAATGGCTCAATGAAAATTCACTGTGTCATTAGAAATACACAGACATGGTTTTCAGTCGGTGAAAATGACAAATGATAGGATAATTAAATAAAAGTAATTTCAATAGAAACTATCAGGCCAAACATACCATAGTTATTATAATAATTAGTATATTATTAATAAGCGAAATGTTCGCGATACTCTTGAGGAGGCGAATTGTACAAATACGTATAATACATTTGATAAATACTATTTATACAATGAAGCTAATATATCTCAACAAACCTTCGAAATGTATAGACGCAACACGTTGCAGCATCTATTTTCGTTTGGCCTTACCATCGCGTCGCCCTGAGGTCTCGAGCCAAACGGTTTTCATTCTTTTTCCTGCAATGTCAAGACGTCGATAAGAATGTCATCTTTGAAACGGATCCAATCCATCGATGAATTATTAATAATTGTTTAGAATCTTACGCGATCCTATTGACACGATCAAGCGCAATAGTTTTAAACCTCGTTTAAACGGAAGTATTCTACCAATAAAGTACAGTAGAAATAGCTCTGTCTGCTCGGACAATAAAACAACAGAAATAGGGTGGACAGAATTAGATGGAGATCTTACATCTTAATAATTTCCCTCAAATGGGGGTGTTTAAGGGTGCATTTCGCGTCTCTTGTCACCCGCGAGGGCGAGGAACATTGGTTCCCTTTTGCCCACTGAAAATTAGCGGCCATCTTGGATAAGGTATTTTATGAATTTCTTTTTGGTTAGGGGAGAGGATAATCATAAAAGACACCCTACGCCTTAGGGCACCTATACGCTAAAATCTACCCGGAAATTCTAGGGCATTTGTATCCTAAGATACCCCGGTCTTTATGGCGTCCGCACCCTAAATGCTTAGACAAGCAATCCTTCAGATGACAATAAAGAAGGAAAAGTAGAACGAGAATCGTGAAGGGGAAACGAAGGAAGGATGAAAACTGCGCAAGCTAGAGGGTGACAACATCTGAAGAAACGAATAAGAAGATTAGAGAAGAGAGAAACAGCACGAGGAAGCGATCCACACCCATATAGTTAGTGTAGGCGGACGGGAATAAAATAGATGAAGCAGGGGATATTATAACATCAATGTGCTTTTGCACAAATATCTTGCTAGAATTTCGTTCGGAAATTGTACGAATAAAATTTTATATATATTTTTTTAATTAACATTTGTAAATAACAAATTAACTTGTAACCATCAGGGTCATTAAAAATGAGAACAAGTATTGTATAAAATAAAGCGTCGTAAACAACTCCCTTTTTATAATGCTTAATTAAGAAAATTGCCGTAGTTAAATATGACTATGCAATAAAAGTCACGTTTGACACGTTCCTCAGCACGTACGCTTTTGGACCATGTCCCGCATTATTTTGAAAGCATTTTCAAGAACCATTCTACGCTTCAAAGATTTTTTATGTATCTATTGCTTTGAAAGTAATTGCGAAATCACGCCTTGGTAGTCAATCCAAAATCAATGTAATATTGTAATAGAGAAATATTTTTACCACTCAAATAGCTTGCGTGTCCTCGATTAAATAAAAGAAATAAACTGGTTGGTCAATCGATACGTAGCAAGAAAAGTATCAGTTTCAGCCTTCTTGGTATTTAGAAACTACTGATAACGCATACGTGTATAAGTTTAGCATTGTTATCTTCGTAATTCAGCGCCTCGTTCTGTAATTTCGATGTAATTTTTAGTTGTTAACACGTTGATCGACACGATAAAAATATGTATAGTGTGGAGACACGGTGATAAGAATTCTTAGATTTATCAAGGATTAAATTTTTCAGTACAAATATTTCAATGTACTGATTGTACATTTTTGTGTAATTGTTTTAATTAAAGTAACAATGTCAATCAACGTGTTAACGATATGAAACAATGTAACGTGAAATGTTTCTGAAGTCGTTCACACCGTTTATAAATAACATGACCAGAAGCGCGGACGAGAACGAGTGAAATAAAAATTTTCGAGTCCGCTCGTTGGCGACCGCAATAAAGATTAATTTCAATCGAGCCTGCTTTCGTCTTCTACCGTTTCAAAATGAGGGCTCAATTTATTTTTATTCATAGACCAATAACCATGAAACGTGAACGTGACTCCACCTTAATCGATTTCGCAACTAAAACGAAGGAGACACAATAAGATTTCATTTATGATAGTAAATTACGACACGAGGTCGATCACTTTTATTTTACCGAATCATAGTTCAATGTTTTCTACGGTTCAATGTTCATTGACAAATATATTGTTCAGTAGTTGAGATAATATTGTTCTATTATTGATTGTTTATCCTCTATTATTAATTATTCTATTTTGAACTTATTTCATAAGCGTGCTTGAGATATTCAACCTTCCTTTCTAATTAAGTTTTCTACATATTTTGTTTTAGAGGGTTTACTATCTGTCTCTGGAGTATTACATGGGAAGAGCTCTCCAGAACACCATGATCAACTTGGGTATCCAAGGTGCTTGCGATGAAGCTATGTACCAGGTCAGTTTTCAAATGAGGTCAACGAATGAATATCTTTAGAATAGATGCTTATACCTTATTTTTATTGCAGATGGGATTGGACATAGAAGAACTTGAAGAACTCGAGGAGGATGCTGGATTAGGAAATGGAGGTTTGGGAAGATTAGCAGCTTGCTTCCTGGATAGTATGGCCACTCTTGGCATAGCAGCCTATGGATATGGTATTCGATACGAGTACGGTATATTTGCACAAAAAATTAAGAATGGGGAACAGATAGAGGAGCCAGATGATTGGTTGCGTTACGGTAACCCATGGGAAAAGGCTAGACCCGAGTTCATGCTTCCAGTGAACTTCTATGGGCAAGTTATCGATACTCCTGAAGGAAAGAAATGGGTGAACACACAGGTAATTAATTTACACAATTCATTGAGTTACTGTTTAATCATTATATTGGTCTTTTTCATTAGGTTATATTCGCAATGCCCTACGACAATCCGATTCCTGGATACAAAAACAATGTAGTTAATAGTCTCAGACTTTGGTCTGCAAAATCACCTGTAGAATTTAATCTGAAATTTTGTAAGTGGTATATATATAATCGTCAGAATAACTGATGAAGCTGTTAGTACATTTCATTAAATTAAAAATTACTTTCAGTCAATGATGGTGACTACATTCAAGCTGTGATTGATCGGAATTTAGCAGAAAATATTTCTAGGGTTTTATATCCTAATGATAATTTCTTTGAAGGAAAAGAATTGCGATTGAAGCAAGAGTATTTCATGGTGGCAGCAACTCTTCAAGACATAATACGCAGGTTGCCAAATGTTCACTTACAATTATTCTCATACAATATGTATACTTTATTAGCGATTTTATATATCCTTGTTATTTTATTACCCATAGGTACAAAGCTAGCAAATTTGGCTCAAAAGAACATCACAGGACAGATTTCGACATGTTCCCTGACAAAGTCGCTATTCAATTGAACGATACTCATCCTTCTCTGGCCATTCCTGAACTTATGAGGATTCTCATCGACGTCGAAGGGCTTCCATGGGAAAAGGCATGGGACATTACAACCAAAACCTGTGCTTATACTAATCACACGGTGCTTCCAGAAGCTCTTGAAAGATGGCCAACAAGCTTGTTGGAAAGCATTCTTCCTCGACATTTGCAAATCATTTATCACATCAATTTCCTTCACCTTCAAACTGTAAGCGCCAAATTCCCGGGTGATATGGATCGCCTTCGTCGCATGTCTTTGATCGAAGAGGAAGGTGAAAAACGAGTGAATATGGCTCATCTTTCGATCGTTGGTAGCCACGCTATTAACGGTGTCGCGGCTATACATTCGGAAATCTTGATAAACAGTGTGTAGGTATTCATCAATAATACTTATAGATTTATGTTACAAGAAAGATGTTAATTTTCTTCTTGTAGTTTCAAAGATTTCTATGAACTGACGCCTGAGAAGTTCCAGAACAAAACCAATGGTATTACACCAAGAAGATGGCTCCTTCTCTGCAATCCAAATCTCTCAGATATCATCGAAGAAGTGAGTATCCTTGCACAGTGGCCGTTAATGAACTTGACATTAAATTTTTATGTGTCTTTAGAAAATTGGCAGCGAATGGACGGTGCATTTAGAACAGCTTGCACAACTGAAACAGTGGGCCAAAGATCCAGTATTCCAACGTAGCATCATAAAAATCAAACAGGAAAATAAATTGAGATTAGCGCAAATACTCGAGAAAGATTATGGGGTTAAAGTGAATCCTGCTTCTATTTTCGATATCCAAGTAATTATACCCTTTCTTCAATTAAATGATGCATTTTTGTACCTGATTAATTTTGAGTTACGTTATAAAACAGGTGAAACGAATACACGAATACAAGAGACAACTTTTGAACTGCCTACACGTAATAACGCTTTATAATAGAATAAAGAAAGATCCATCTGCACCGTTCGTTCCTCGAACGGTAATGATCGGAGGCAAAGCAGCACCCGGCTACCACTTAGCAAAGCAAATCATTAAATTAATTTGCAGCGTAGGAAATGTTATTAATAATGATCCTATCGTTGGTGACAAACTGAAATTTATCTTCTTGGAGAATTACCGAGTTACGTTAGCCGAGAAAATTATTCCAGCAGCAGATTTGAGTGAACAGATTTCCACTGCTGGTACTGAAGCTTCTGGTACAGGAAACATGAAGTTCATGGTGAGTAACTGAACAAATGGATTTATCTTTACCAGAAAATAAAATGTATCTTACTTGGAATGTTAGTTAAATGGAGCGTTAACAATTGGCACACTGGATGGTGCGAATGTTGAAATGGCTGAAGAAATGGGCAAAGAAAATATATTCATTTTTGGTATGACCGTCGACGAAGTGGAAGAATTGAAACGAAAAGGATATAACGCTTATGATTATTACAATAGAATCCCAGAATTAAAACAATGCATTGATCAGATTCAAGGTGGTTTCTTCAGTCCTAACAATCCAGATGAATTTAAAGATATTACCAATGTTCTACTAAATTGGGACAGATTTTACTCGTTTGCTGATTATGAGAGCTATATAGCAATGCAGAACCAAGTCAGTAAAGTCTATCAGGTATGTTCCCTTTTCTTTAGGATCGGCATTTTTTCACAAAGTTAGTGGTCTCGATTTTTGGAAACCTTTAAAGGTTGAACATATTTTAAAATTTACATCTTATATCTTAATAATTTCCCTCTGGGGGGTGGTTAAGGGTGCATTTCGCGCCTTTTATCACCCGCGAGGGTGGGGTATTCTGGGAACATTAGTTCCCCTATGCCCACCGAATTCTTTAATCTTTGATTCTCATTTCCAGCTCATTCTACACCATATGTGCAATACATTATTTTCATTTTTTCGTTTAAAATTTATTTTCTAATTTTTCGTTTTAGGATGAAACCAAATGGGTGGAAATGGCCATTCATAACATAGCTTCTTCAGGCAAATTTTCATCAGATAGAACAATCGCAGAGTATGCTCGCGAAATTTGGGGCGTTGAGCCATCTTGGCAACGACTTCCCGCCCCTCATGAACCTCGAGATATTTAAATTTAATTTATCTTCTTCCTGGCCATTTTACATGTCTGTAAACTTTAACATTATTAACAATTATTATTTTTTTATATATTTTTTTTTAACAGATAGGTAAATATTTTTCTTTCAACGAGTGTGAGTAATTTTATTGTCGAATTATTGGCGTGATCAAAATCACAACGAATAAAACGCAATCATAGTAAAAACAAATATTTATTTATCGTTTCCACGTTTCATCAAGTAATTTAAACAACTGGTATTGTTTTACATACATCCAATCGGTAACTACAAATTACTCACGCTTAATTTTAAAAATAGAAAACTGCCCTAAACTTCTTAAAAATATTATTGACATCTACCGACTGACTTGTGAAAGGACAGAAAAGCTGATACAAGGAAGCTATTTTCCATGTTCCTATGTTGTAGCTAAAGACAAAATACTTCATAAATAATGATGCAAATTCCTGTTTAAAATAATCAGAACAAAAGCAGTCGAAAAGAATACATCGAAAATAATTTTACTCGTATTTTTCTACTTGTAAATACCTACTATGAAGATAAATAAAATACTGAATTTATTAATTGTTAGCTAACTGAAACATTTGTGAAATTCGAAAAATATATATTTATTTTCAACTCTGAATACTCGTTATATCATTGTCATTGCTTAATTATACATATACTTAATAATGTTGATGTCGAACAAGTTTACTATTATTATTTATACTGGTATTGTAAAAATGCTTATCGTCATGTTTTGAAATTAAATTTTGAAAAACAGTGATCCTTGTGGTTTTAATTCAACAAAATAAAACATGTATTTTTTGTTTAGAAGCTTGGATATGATCAAACTTCGTCTTAGGGGTCCTAAATATCTTCTTGTAGTTTTTGACCTGAAACATTCGAAAATGCAAGTTAAACCCCCGGAAACCAATGGTTAAATTTAAAAGATTCAGCAGCGAGACCCATGTAATTTTTAAATGAATCGATATGAACAGATTTTGAAAATATGTGCAAACCAATCAGAAGATGAGTAGAAGCAATATGGCGTCATACTAATCTGTCAAACATCACTAAATACGTACATTTTTAAACAATTGTATCTTTTAAACCATTAGTTTCCGAGGCATTTAACTTTGCATTTTCGAATGTTTCAGATCAAAAACTATAAGATTTGACACCTTCTATTCAACAATTTTTGGTCCCCTAAGACGAAGTGCAGCCCGAATTATTTTTATTTTAAATGTGCGCCCCAAATTGAATCAGATTACATTTCCAATAAGAAATAAATACAATAAACTATCGCGTGCACGAAGAAGCGGCTTAAAATAAGGCACTGTTCCAATAAATTATTATCTGAGAATATCGAATAGTATGTCTGTAAATGAAAATAAAATTTTCGTGCAAACAAAAGAAAATGCTGTTCGAGAATTCTCTTTTGTCGATGAGGACACATTGCCGTTGGTGAGTATCAATCGGTAATATAAGTATTAGGGTCATAAACAACGTAGAAACATACCGATTGAAAACTGTAGATTTCTCGTCTAACCTATTTCTTTGACCCCACCCAATAATTGCATAATCGGTAATATAAATAAATCTCGTGATAAAATTGCAACAATTAAAGCTTTAAACAAACTTTTATTGTTTGAAATATTTATTAACAGGTTAATCTCGAGGTTAGACATTTTTTTTAAATTACTGATCATTATTTTATTATAAGATTTAAATCACTAATACTAATGTAAGTATTTTTTACTTAATCTTACTTTTCAATTTTCTTTAGGATCCTATCAAATTGTGAATAATTCTTTCGTGTTAAGAAAATGAAAATGAATACCTGCATAAGTAGGAAAATGATTTTCATGGAGACTAATGTTGAAAATTCGTATCCGGACTTTGACTAGTTTCTACTACGTACGGCATCCGAACATTTGTACCATGACCTCTCCTTCTCATGCTATTTTTTTCCGCAGGTTTTTGATTTATATATTTCTATTAAAAAAGTATACTTGTAGAGTCACAATTTATTAGGACACCCATTATATGAAATGCCTATCCTAACAACCAATATAAAATTCGTATTTAACAACCTATCTAAAATCTGTATCTGTTTATATATTTGATGTCCTAAAAAACGAAAATTTTCATTTTTAAAGCACTGAGATAAATTTATTTTTTCCTATTTCTACATTTTGAAAAGAAAACACGAATTACTTACTTTTTTCGTATATAATACATTTATTTAAGTTATAATACGTGTTTTTTTCCAGAATGTTTCGGCACCAGTTCTATTACAACCTTTGAAACCAACATCAGCTATCGTGGTCACGGGATACATTCCTGCTGATGCGTTGAGGTGATTTCTTATCGTAAGAAGAAATATCTTATGATCAAGATTTTGGTTAATTTTGAAAATAATGTTACGACTTATGATATAATTTATACATAATTTATACATAATGTAATAAAACATAATCATCCCAGATTTTCAGTGAATTTGTTATGCAAGACAGGCAATATTGCATTGCATTTCAACGCGCGATTGGACAGGGGTTACGTCGTTCGAAATACGAAATTTAAAGGATGTTGGGAAGAAGAAGAAACTTGTTCTCCTTCTGGTCATACTGCTTTCCGACGCAATTCCTACGTTCATATTTTGATCTTCTGTACTGCTAATGCGTTTCAGGCAAGGGATAAAAATTATTCAATGTAATTTGAATCCAAAATGTATATTTAAAGACACATGAATTTCATTAGATTGCGGTCAATGGAGAGCACTTTTGCGCTTTCTCCTATAGAATGCCTCTTGAAGATATAACGAACCTCGAGATTAATGGATCATTAGAAGATACCAGATTTCGGCAACTGGAATTATTTGTTTATCCAGATCCAAAGTTATGTAGGCCGAGCAATATTTTAAGCTTAAAAGTCGAGCAACCGATAGTCGAGTGTCTCGTAAGTTCTTGTAATTATTGATCTTTTTGGTTCTTTTATCTCTGTAGACATTAAAATATCACCCAATGTTCCTGTTTAGAGCGTTCCGATTACTGTAGGCATTGAAAGCGAATTCAAACCAGGGACTAGACTTTTCATTGCTGGAAGATTAAAACTTCTTCCACATTCGTGAGTTGGAATATTTCTTTACTTGAAAGGTTTCAGATGAAGGGAAGAATAATACTTCATTATTTTACAATAGGTTTTATGTGAACCTACAAAAAGGAAAGGCAATTTACCCACATCCTATAATTGCCTTACATTTAAATCCCCGCTTTTCATATGGTAGCAGCGCACCCTATGTTGTGATGAATTGTTGGATGAATGGATCTTGGGAACACGAAGAAAGACATCACGGACATTTATCTTGGATGCCTGGTCGTGATTTTCTTCTGACGTAGGTCCCATATTTTTAAAGTATTATTATTCATAATTTCTAAATTAAACTTTGAAAAATTTGTTTCGTAGAATTCGATGTGAACACGAAGTATATACAATATGGCTTGGTGATAAAATGATTGGAGAATTTAAACATAGACTGCAACCTTCTATTGTTGATACCCTTAAAATATCTGGAGATATTGTCCTTCATGAATTAGCTATGACTTATTCGAATTAAATGAACTTTTGTAATAGAATTTATATCATTTACTACTCATAAAATAAAATAGTATTTACCTTTGTCCATTTCCATATTTTTACATTTTAATAATGTTTAATGATTCTCCCTTAGTCAATATAGACATAACATTTATAACAATTTTGATAAAGAATTTTCATATCTGTGATTTCCCTCTACAGCTTGCTTCTTACTTTGGGATCATATATGGTCTCTCGTAAACTGCAGTATATGTAAATGTATAGTGCAGGAATGAGGACATTTTTTAAGTATGGTTTCCTACCATCTTGTATAGTTTCAGGTATACACAAAAGAGCGCGAAAACGTGGTAAAAAGATGGAAAGTTTGTAGCGATTTCCAATTATTTCACGATTGTCATATGATTTGGTTATTCTTTTTTAAGTTCATTGAATATTATTTCTAATTCTTATACAGTCATATACAATTCTGACATAACACAAGTGTAATAAGATACATTTTAAAATATTTCAAAACATAACAATTAAAGGAAGACAAAAATATTGTTGTATTTATAATATCTTTCAAATTATTTGTTATATCTATGTAGGTTAGTTTAGTGATTTATTTATTACACTTATTTTACTCCTTTTTATCAGCATAATTCATTGAAATTTATCAATAACAGTTTATTAAAAGGAGTATCTTTTTATAGCTTATGATTTTATTATTTTGACCATTGGTTTTAATTAATTTATTTTCTTATTTTTAGAATATGCATATAAATGTTAATCAAGATGGATCTGGATAATATACAAAATGATTCATTATGTTCCACGGAAAATACAGAAATGCTTATTTGGGACAAATGTGAAGTATCACCAAAAACACCTAAAAGACAGTTTGGTAAAGAACTACAAAATGATATCACGGAAACTCCAAGTAGAAGTAAAGAAATTACATTAATGACACCATTGAGGTCAACGCATAAAATAAATTTATTGCCAAGATTAAGTAAACACATGTCCCTTGGTGTACTTGATTTGGTTGAAGGTTTTTCACCCAACAAGAAAGAAAATACATTAAAGAGAGATGCACCTGATGAACTAGACAAATCTGCTGTAAAATTATTAAAAACTGATGAAAATCATTCAGTTTCTAAAGCTAGAACAGCCTTATTTCAAGAACAAGATCACAAAGCTAAACTAAAGAATTTAACTATAAGTACTAAACACTTTTACCAAAATTCCAATGAGAAAAAGAATTATAAAGTAATACACAAATTAATGGAAACAAAATTGCAGAACAAAAGTTTATCAGAACATTCAAAGTATCATAAAAGATCTCTAAGGAGACACACTATAGGAGGGATTAATGCTGGAGTTTCACATGGTATCAGAAAGCCAAAACCAAAACCAAAAACAAATTCAAATGGTAAAAAGACTAATAATAACACAATGGTCATAAATGATATGCAGAATAGTATGAAGGTGCAGGAAGATTCATTGAAAGAAAGACAGGAAACAAGTACATCAAGTGTAGTACCAATAGAAAGAACACTATCACCAGAAGTTGATTGTAATAAACGCTTTTTTAAAACTAAACAATCTCCAGCTGTAGTTAAAATAAGCAACAATATCAAATTAAAAATCGCATCAAATGGTGAAGTAAAATTGAATCAAAAGAATTATAGAGGTAGAAAACAAGCTCACAAACGAATAAAAACTACAGACATTACTTTTGACGCTACTGATTTAATGGTAGATGAACCAGAAATAGAAAAAACAGTAGAACAAAGTAACATTGATAATATCTTAAAAATATTAGAAAATGATTGGGCTGATGATGATTATGACACCATGGATACTTTAATTAGTAAACAGTATGCAAATATTTCACCACTGAAGCCAGTTGCAATATTAAACGATGTTATTATGTCACCGGCGAGTGAACTCACTAATATGACATTAACTATGAATATCAAAGACAACAGCACACTAAATACTTACGAAAATATTAATACAGATAATAATAACAAGAAAGCTGATGAAATTATTACTAATACATCAACTATGAATATCAAAGACATCAGCACACCAGAAACTTCAGAAAGTATATCTATGGATAGTGATGAACAAAATCCTGATAAAAATATTACTGATATCCAAGGCATTAGCACACTAAACGTTTCTGAAAATAGTTTTACAGATAATACTGATAAGAAGACTAATGAAAAAGAACCCAAGTATTATCCACTGTTTAATAAAGGATATGTTGCTAAAGTATTCGAGTAAGTTCTTTACTTTATTTAACATTCAGACCACCGTTCTCACATTTACTACAAATATTATTAGTAACTTTGATTTTACTATTTCAGTGAAATTGATAACAAATCAATGCATAATACAAAACAAACTAAGAATTGGCAATTATCCGTAAAACTAAATGGTGGTGAAAATCAGTATCTGCTAGATGCAGGTCAAAAGAATTTCGGAGCAACACAATGTATGGAATGTGGTGTTGTATATCAAATAGGAGATCCTGAAGATGAAAATGCTCATTTAAATTATCATAATAATAAAAAAGTTCTAAAATTTCCTGTATGTATTTATCTAGACTGTACATATGTAGGTTTATTCAAAATTTGATGATCATAAATTTCAACTGCAGGGTTGGAAAACAGAACGGGTAATTATGGAAGACCCTTTTACACAAAGTCGAATAATTCTAATAGAGCCAGGTGACTCAAAACAATGTTGGAAGAAAGTAACAGAAGTTTTAGAATATGTAGACAGGGATTTAGGATTAACTGACACAAAATTATCAGATTACGAGCAAAAAAGAGTAACTATCCATATTTTATTATATACTAAATATAATTTAATTTTAACCTGAGTTATTTTTAGGTGTACCTATATATAAGGGATAAAGTAATCATAGGGGTACTGGTTGCACAACATATAACGACAGCGTATCGTATGATACCTGAATTATTAGAATTAAACTGTTGTACAGTAGAAAGCAGTCCTGCTAAATGTGGTATAGATGTTGTATGGACTGATATGAATCATCGTAAACAAGGCATAGCTACTAAGCTGGTTGATATATTAAGGTAAATTTTTACACGTCGTTATACATCAATCTGTAATCAATATGTAATTAATCGTATATATCAATATGTAATTAATTAATGAATTTTTTAAAACTATTTTAGAAACAACTTCTATTTCGGGTATGTAATGTCTTTAGATGACATCGCATTTTCAATTCCGTCTTCAGGTGGAAAAATATTCGCCGAAAAATATACCAAAACACGAAATTTCAAAGTTTATAGTTAAAATCTAATATCGATCCTACAGGTAATTTTTGATAAACAAAATTTTATTATATTTATAGTAGTAATACTTTTTAACATTCTGTAGATTTGATAGTCTAAAAAAACTTTTATATTTTTATTACTTTTTAAATTAATATTTGTACCATTGCTACCGGCGCAGTTGCAGCTTGGTTTATGTAATTTTTTATTTAAGAAGTTATAGATTCATGTATGTTAATACGTTCTAAATCGTATACTTCGTTATTTAAACAATTTCCACCTCCACTATTCGTTTGAATAGTTGTACAATTTGAATTGTATTGTACATACGTATAGTATCGAACACAGTACGCTTTCCCAGAGAAAACGGAGTTTCTATTACTATACACGCAAAGAACAGTACAACTACGAATAAAAAAGATAAGACTGTGATAGTTGAGATTACTTTTTCTTTACGTTGATTGATTTTCTCTTGTACTTTTTAAGTTCATCTTTCTCGAAGACTACATATTTACTGAGGCTGAATATTGCAGAATAATGCGAATGACGTGCACTACCTTAATAAAAGCTAACAGTTCCTCACAGGTATGATAGATCCTTCGAGTAACCTGTTTTTAAGAAATGATTTACAGGTCATAAACTTATAAAATTCATAAATCTGAAAGGACTGGTTAATACTAATTTTGGAGTCAGTCTACCTCAAATATTTTATTCATTATTTAACGATGCTTAAATGGATAGGTATGTAAGTTTCCTTATGCGTTCTGTGTATTTTTTGTATTATTTATGTATTTGTCCGACAGAAAAACATTTGTATAATTTATATATTTTATGAATAATTATATGTGTCATAAAATGTTCTGTCGCTTTAATAATTTTTCTGATGTTATATGACTATAAACGTTTCGTAAAATCATCCTCAGAAAAATTTTGTTTGGATATCTAGTGCCTTTTTAAAGAAGTGTGTAAACAGATAGGAACCCGGTAAAAAACAAAGTCAATGAACAAAAACACTTGTTAAAGGTCAAAATAAATTGTTCGTTCACGTACTCGACAAAGAAATGTAAGCAAAACAGTAATTTCAAATATAGACTCTTCCTAGAATCAAATCTGTTCATGGAAAAGAGACTTAGAGACAAAAATTTATAAGTTATAAATTATATTATTTTTCAAATCACACGACATTTATTATTATTTTACATAATACCTATCAAAACTTCTTATACACATTAAGTTTGAATAGTAAAATGTTACGCGATCAACAACAAAAAATTATAAAAATTTGAGACTGCAATGAACCTATTTAATAATACTGCTGTTAATGTTGTATCAAATTTTAATTTTTTATTTTAATTAGAAACAACTAGTATTATGCTTTTTATGAAATTCATTACCTTAAAAAAAAAAAGAATACAACGTGGTATGAAACAAAATTTAAAAAAAAAAATATGTAAAAAAAAACGTACCAAGCTAGTTACTAATAACTATGGAAATTTTACCATATTAGGAATATTAGGAACATGAGCTCACGAACATAGACGTAAGAATCAATATCTTCTGTTGCCACCCCTTCTCTGTGGAAAATCTCGTTTATCTCTTCGGGCTTCAAATCTTTCAGCCATCTTAAACAGTTCCTCAGGAATTTCCTGTGGAAAATAAATTTATACGCGTGTATTTTTATACAGTTACATAAATATATAAACTTACTTGATTAGCTTCTTCTAGAAGAGTAATTAATTCCTTCGCAAGAGCCCAATCTTTCCTTGTCATAAATGTAATACTTTCTCCAGTGCGTCCAGCGCGACCCGTTCGACCAACTCGGTGAACGTATTCTTCAATATCTCGCGGAAAATCATAATTTAATACATGCCTAACAGGAAAATTTTTATGTCAAATGTGAAGATACTTCAGTATTTGAATCATATAATACTATACATACGTAACATCTTCAATATCGATGCCACGACTGGCAACATCCGTTGCAAGAAGTATTTGTACTTCGCCAGTTTTTAAATCTTCTAATGCTTGTTCTCTATCACACTGCTCCCTTCCTCCATGTATACTTTGACAGTTAACACCTTGAAGAGCTAAATCACTCGCAATGTCATCTACTCGGCATTTTTTCCCAAAAAATACTATTACCTTATCGGTGGTGGCCATCTCACGGAAAAATTGATACATCTATTGATCAAAAGAATACTTAACTTCGCATGAACTTTTTATATAACATGTACTGAAGATATTTTTTAATTCTAACCCTATCTGATTTTTCTTCTTCATCGACTATATAAATTTTCTGCATTACTGTATGTACAGTAGCTAAATCGAGAGACCCGACAAATACTTGAATCGGATTTTGCATATACGATTGAGCTAAACGTCTAACACCTTGAGGCCACGTAGCACTAAAATGTTGAATGTATATTATTTTGTTTCTTCAATGAGAAATACTTTTTTAAATAGTTTTCATACCTCGTCATAACTGTTTGCCGATCTGGTCTTATATCTAACAAAGTCTTCCTAATTTGTGGTTCAAATCCCATGTCAAGCATGCGATCGGCTTCGTCTAATACAAGGTACGTGACCGAAGAAATATTTAAAATATTTGCTTCTACAAGATCATTTAGTCTACCAGGAGTCGCAATGACTATTTCTACACCTTTAGTTACTATATTGACTTGTTCTTTACGGCTGCCACCTCCATAGATGCATACCCTGTTATAATATTTTATTTTTGAATACAGATACATTTTAAATTAGTGAATATATAATAATGTTACTTACGCTTTTATACCGTGATAAGAATATTTATTCACTTCTTTTTCAATCTGTAATGCTAATTCTCTGGTGGGTGCCATAACAAGAATATTAGGCCCAGTTCTCTCTGACCTTGGTGTTTCTTGTCCTTCGATATGAATTAAAGCAGGCAACAAAAATGCCAGTGTTTTACCTAAATATATCATAAATATAGTGTATTTTTTCTTTTATTAAATAACATTGTAGGAATATTAAACATTTGAATGGTATACCTGTGCCTGTTTGCGCAATTCCAATAAGGTCTTTACCGCTAAGGAGAACAGGCCAAGCTTGACACTGTATTGGACTTGGTTTAGCAAATCCTTGCTTTCTTATTTCCTCCAGTATCTCAGGATAATCCTAATGAATAATCTTCCAGTTGAAACGATACATTCTATGGTATCTTCATAATCCAAGCATATTTAATACTTACCTCAAAAGCTTGTTCAAATGTTTCAATAGGATTGGGTATGGGAAAATCTTTTGAACTCTCTGAACATTTTTCTTCATTTTCAAACATATATCTTACTTCTATATTGTTGTTTGTTTGCCTAATATGAGCTACCTGTTCTTTTGTCATATTAGCAACCTCTGGATGCTCTTTATAAAAATTCTTGATAACAGGTGCAAACTTTGACCATTTTTCTTTTCTATATGCATCCTAATGAAATACTTTATATAAGAAATGTTATGTTTGATTTGTATCAAGATCTTAGGGATACTTACACATTCTTCACCAGCTTTGGTCCAATCAAATGTTGTAAAATCAATTGGTGGTTTATCCTCTTGCTCAAATTGCTCTGTTTGCTCATTCTTCGCTTCTGTCGATACGTATGAAGAATCTTTCAATAAATCTTCTATTTCATTCTGAGCATGCTGTTGTGCTTCTTTGGAACCAATTATAGTTACAGCAGTAGTATCATTACCAGTTGATCTATCAATCTAAATAAAATCATTTTGAATTGAATTGTTAAATAAACATTCTACAGAGTTATAGAAAAATAAACGATAATATGTTAATAATTACATGAATTTTTGTATTTGTTTTGCTTTGAAGATCTTTAATGTTAGCTCCACTTCTACCAATCAGTTTTCCCACTTTATCACTGTTAATGTGTATAATAAACTTCTCAGATTCACAGTCAGAATTGCTATATCTGGAATTATTATACTGATTCTCTTCATTTCTGTAATTATTTCTGTGATATCTTTCTTGATTACCACGTTTCATATATTTATTGTTTGAGACAGTATATGTTCGTTGATAATTATCCATTCTGTAATTAATAATTAATGTTTAAATATTAAAGTTTATAAACTTTTTCATTCAATTCTTATATACTAACGTTTAAAAATGAAAATCTATTAACTTTAAAATAATCTCGCTTATGTAGAATAATTATTAGTACTTTCTTAAAACAGATTCTGATTCTACGACATTGACTTCAAGCCGGTGTATAAACAGCCAAGAAGATTAAGATGGTGTTAACGCTATAGAGTTTATATATACGGTGACTACAGAGGCAAAAGACTGGATATGCCTTTTTTTCGAGGGGTTATGACCTAAGGGGTCCCAGACACCCCTAAGCGAGGGTTAATTTAGATCACTCCCCTTGCCAGTTCCAATAACTCGTAGAAATAAGTAACAACTGTATTATAGATGATATGAACTGTACATACAAATATAAACCATTGGCTATATTTCTTAAACAAACACATAAGATGTATATACGGAAATACAATTCAGTAGTTCACACGATTTTCCATTAATTTGTTGTTTCTTTAATATTCGTAATGAACATAAAAAATGAGGTTATATTAAATTTAAGGTTAACTAAATACCCATACATTTTGTTGTTGAAATGTTATGCATTTATTTACATTACACGATTACATTAAAATAAAAATAATGACTGACAAGAATAAGTAGGAATTAAATCTGTAATTTATTATTTTACAAACAGGAAGTTAGAATTGTAAAATCCTGTTTAATATAATCGTTACTAAAGAGGTAAATGAAATGTAGCCTATTATATATGTCCTGCAAACGTTCCATTTTCAACTTGTTCATCCCATTTTTCTACCCAAGCATTCGGACACATTGCTTGATACACTTTCTTGAAGTATTTACACGCATCGTAATCTTCACCGTGACGTTTTTTGCAACGATGAAAATCCACGTAACTCACATAACAATACCTATATTCAAAGAAACACAAATGAGCAATTTCATGTAAAAGCAATGAAGTTACATAATTATAAGATATAAGTAATTTTGTTTACTTTGTCTGGTTTTGATTTGGGAATCTCGGGTCGTATGGTGCTGTTTGTGGTTTCACATCTATACCTGCGTCTATTTCAGGCTTACTTCCAAGATTCGTATATTTAACCATACTGTTGCTGCTTAACAAATTACAAGTTACTTAATAATTATATTTAATTGAAAGCACTACATATGTTACTCTCCCTTTCTCCCAAAAAGCAAACTCTCGTTTGTCTCTCGCTTTAGTCCGTTCATCTCTTGCACCATTTAACACACTATTATAAATAATAGGTATTTCTCCGTTACAGTCCTTTTTCAATCTCATATTATATTAATAATGTTCTTTAAGTTAAAGTTTCTTTTATAACTGGATACTATGAATTCATGATATCTGTTCAACATATACTGTACATTTTATATAGTAATTGAAAGAAAAAAACGAAGATTATGATTATCACGATCATGTACATTTCTGCATATAATATTTACTTATGTAACAAAATGCTTTACTTTGAAGCTTATCAAAACTCAAAATAATTTTAGTGAAGTTGGAATTCTTTAAATTGAGTTGACTATTCTTCCATGCTTAAATGCATCCATAAAGTAATTAAAAAAAGAAGACAGTATCTTTTGAAATGACATTTATCATAGATAAATGAGAAGTGATTAAATTAAAATTAGCTATTTGACCAACGGTCTTGTGTTGTCTTCTTCTTGACAACAAACTTCTCTGTATTTTTTTACTTCAGCCATATAAAGCGACCAAGCATCCTTGGGCTGTTCAACCGTTTGTTCAGTCTTTGGTTTAGCAACCATTCCAGTTTTCAAAATTCTCCCTCCTCGCCTCTTACCCACCATCAATGGTGGAGGAACAACAGTTTTCTCTTCCAAAACAGAAGTCGTCGGTTTTTGCGCAGGCTGCATTTGTTCCTGCATCTTTTTGAACATTTCCATAAAGCTACCATCGTTTTTGAAAGCATTAGATTGTAGAGGAACAACTGGTTGCGATACGCCAGTATCGTTATTATCTTCAGCAGTATCTGATTCGTACGATGGTGCTCTATGGTATCGACGGCTTTCTCTGCCTCTGTGTCTATCTCTACTTCTATTACGACTACGACTACGCCTTCTATCTCTGGAACGTGATCTTCCTCGCGATCTAGATCTCGATCTGTCTCTTCTAGAATATTTTCGTGAACGATCTCTATCCCTATCTCGATCTTTGTCTCTATCGGGTGATCGGGATCGTTTATGCGATCGACTCGGAGGAGATTTTGATGTACTACGTCTTCTTCTACGTCTATCCTGTGGCGAATCATTTCGGGAAGTTCTACTGCTTCTATACTCCGAAGGTGAAGGTGATCGACGCGACGACAATCTGTTTTTGTACCCGTCATACGTTGTGTACGATGCACTATACATGGGAGGTGAAGGTGGTGCAGGTGGCGAGTCTGTATTGGACTTGGAGCTGCGGTCATGCCGTTTTGAATCCATTGTGGAGCTTGAATGCCTCTCTCTCCAGGCTGAATGGACAGACGGACACCTATAAGGATAGAAACTGCCTTCTATGAGTACACTGCCCATCTCTTCTTACCACGCCTTTATCTGATTGGTTTTATATGTACACATTTGCAAGAGACAAACGGATTTATAGCGAGAGATCAAGATATTTCAGTTGGTATTAAAGAAAAAAAAGTTTAATTGAAGCTAGGATTTCTTACTTTTATGAATTTCAGTAGTTGAGATTAACATGATAGGAATCTAACATAGATTATACACCTAATTTATTGTTACAAAAGTATTTGAACAAGTAGATGGATATTATAATGTCCTTAGCATAAATATTTGCAATTATCCAATTTTGTAACATTCTTCTTTAGAGATCACCAATGACAATATTGCAAGCTATATTTTTGCAACACTCAAATGAACTACATATTTCACAAACAATATATATATGTATATATCATTTTATATAACAATATGCTTATTGATATTTGATATGCTAAAGGTATTAGTCTAAATTATTGCGTTAATAAGAAAGTTCTTTAAAAACGTAATAGTTACGTTAAATTAAGATTTATATTATTAAGTACGTAAATTATACGATTTTTGTTTCGATGTAATATTACGTCGTACAAAAAATGATGAACGAAGCACATAATATCTATGTTACTTTTAAATCATTTTTAAAATATTATACGTTATAATCTCTGACCATTTTTCAATAAATGAACATTTAATTCACATTGAGACAAGTATTAGAAAAAGGGAGATAGAGAGAGAGAGAGAGAACCCTTACCCAAAAACTAAATAAGATCTTCAATTAATATCTGAATCACGTTTTACGAAAATATAATTGAAGTTTCTTAAAGAGTTTTCAAAATAATTCGTCGATTCTATTAATCATTTAAATATCCTATAATTACACGAAATATCTTTATGTAAAAATACCTTAGTTAGCCGAGCGATTGAAAACAAAATGGCCACTAGGCAAACTGCGCCAGACTGTTACGTCATGTATTCATTCAGTGACTACAGATGTACAAGACTGGACATGCGTTTGTTTTCGAGGGGTCATGATTTAGGGGGTCCTAGGCACCCCCATATGAACTTAGGTCTGCAAATATAGAGCACAGCCGATATGATAATTGTGCCTGTTTTACCCATATATGTAATACTCGGGTAAACTGTACTTTACCGGACCCAAAACGCATTTTAGTGCATTTGCTACGTTGCTGTACGTTGCTTTATATCTCTGATTCCACTATATCTCTGCACCCTTATATCACTGCATTCCTTACATCCCAGCAACTCTTATATCTCAGTACTCCTAACATCTCTGCATCCTTTACATCTTTGCAATCTTTTCGTCCCTACATTAATTACATCGCTTCATCCCTTATAACCCTACATTCCTTACATATCTTTATCCCATTCATCCCGACATTCCTTACATCTCTTCATCCCTCATATTCCTGCCTCATTTATATCTCAACATCCCTTACATCCCTGCATCCCTTATATGCCTGTCTCCTTTATATCCTTGTATCATCTATATTCCTGCATTCCATACATCCCAGTACCTCTCTGAAATTGAGTTGAAATTTTTTGCGACGATTTTAAACAAATTTAGTTCCTTTTTCCGCCACCAGATGGCGCTGGTTCGACACCGAAATTTTAGTTCACATTTTTGCCGCCAGAGGGCCAAAAATAGAGCAAGGTTTAGTTCCTTTTTCCGCCACCAGATGGCGCTGGTCCGACACCGAAATTTTAGTTCACATTTTTGCCACCAGAGGGCCAAAAATCGAGCAAGGTTTAGTTCCCTTTTCCGAAACCAGATGGCACTGATTCGACATCAAAATTTTAGTTCACATTTTTGCCGACAGAGGGCCAGAAACAGAGCAAGGTTTAGTTCCTTTTTCCGAAACCAGATGGCGCTGATTCGACATCGAAATTTTAGTTCACATTTTTGCCGCTAGGGGGCGCTATTTTTTCGAGAATTTCGCGAAAACTAACTTACCTTTACTTACCTTTACTCGAAGCAGTCTTTATAATATATTTATTATAAGGGATGCAGAGATGTAAGGAATGTAGGCATGAAAGAAATGTAGGGATGAAAAGAATGTAGGGATGAAACGAGTGTAGGGATGAAAAGAGTGTAGGGATGAAAAGAATGCAGGGATGTAAGGGATGCAGAGATGTAAGGGAACGAGGATGTAAAGGAATTTCGTGGGGGTCCGGGGCTGGGGCCCCGGTCTCCGCTGCACGCGACCCGAGGAGTGCCGGCTTCGGGTGTGGTCCCCGATGTCGGTGAAGTTTGGCACATGGCGGAGGGTCAAAGGACCCTCCCTACCGCCCTAGCGTAGGCCACCGTGGTGGTTTTAGTGGGTAAAAATCCCACACTACCTCCGTCCCCTCTCCAGGGGGGCTGAAGGTGTCTTTCTGAAGATTTCCACCACGTTAAAAAAAAAAAAAAAAGGGTATTTTAGGGTTGCAGGAATGAAAAGAATGCAGGGATGTAAGGGCTACTGAGATGGCCTTGGCCTATAATGAGGGATAAAATTATATAAATAACTGGAAAAAGTAAAATAAATGGGGTTCCCGGCTGAGACCCAGAAGAGGGATATAATCATAAATGTTATTTCCCTACGATGAGCTTATTTAATAAGCAAAAAAAAAATAAATTAAGTAAATTAAATAAACTCTGGAAAAACATTATACCGATTGTGCCCTCTTCATACGGACCTGATATTTTCCAGGGGTGTTAGGGATCCCGCTGCGCCAATTACGCTCTCTGCGTACCGACCTGATATCATATTGGGGTATTAAGGACCCTGAAACGCCGTTGACTATCTTTGCATACCAATAATATACCATCGGGGTGCCAGGGACCCCGAAGCACCAGAGGCACTCTTCCTTACCGATACTATGGCATTCGGGGTATCTGAGACCCCAGGTACCGGCGACGCTGCATTCCGATATTATGCCACCGTGGTGTCAGGGACCCCAAAGCAAATAGCGAAATATAAGACCTAAAAACGAAGAAATCGTGAAACTCACTTGTTCGGAATAGTGATGGGTCCAACCGGATCTAGCGAAATATAAGACCTAAAAACGAACAAATGGTGAATCTCACTTGTTCGGGATAGTGATGGGTACGACCGAATCTGTAACGCATGCGCACTTCAATTATTTATTATAAAACAAACTTGTAGATAATTAAGAAATTATTCACTCACAAACAATGAAAATGATATATTTGTAAATCACAAACGAAGCAGTGATATAAGGAATGTGGGGATATCAGAAATGCTGGGATGTAAGGGATGCAGAGATGTAAGGTATGAAGGAATACAAGGGATTCAGAGATACCAGGAATACGGGGATACAGGGTTTTATGAGTATTCCCCGCGAGGCCGAAGAAAAAAATGAAAAAATAAGTAACTGCGAAGGTGGTCTTTGACCATAAAGAGGAATAGAATAATAAATAACTGGGAATAAAATGGAGAGGAATAAAATAATAATGATAAAATAATTAATAACTGGAAAGGCTATGGCCAATAAAGAGGCTATGGCCAATAAATAACTGGATAAAATGAGCTGTGGCACATAAGGAGAGATAAAATAATAAATAAAAGGGATGGTCGGTCGAGGCCCAGATGGGGGATAAGATCATAAATTTTATTCCCCTTTGGTGCGCTTATTTAATAAGCAAAAACAATAAATAAAGTAAATTGAATAAACTTCGAAAGGAAATTATAGGTACACGTATGTTTGACAAGTTGATCCGTACCCCTGGGTGGTCGCTATAAGACTGAGGAAGGTCGCACCTAGGTAGGCCAAATTTATCAGACGTGCGTCACGTGTATTAAATAAATCACTCAGAACGGAAATTGTCTAAATTAAATAAATAATTCTGAAAGGAAATTGGATAAATTAAATAATAACTTTGTTGTATTATGTATTTAAACTAATTTATTTACCAAAGTGCATGAAGTGAATACAAGTTTCTCGTTATAAATTTCATTTACTACTTACATACTATTGAGTTGCACAAAAGATTTTTTAATAAACACCTTAGAATTTCATAAAAACATTATGTTAGACTTAACAAACAAATCCCTAATTAATGAGAAAATGACGAGGCTTCACTTCCACCCATTAAGCTACATAAAAAAATTCATCACACTCTCAGAAACTACTAAACTTCAGCACCAACCGAGTATTCGTTGACCTGTTTAATAAACACCACCCTTTCCTCTTAGTACCTCAAACTTTACTCCTTCATTTTTCCCAAAGTTGTAAAAATCTCTCAAACTAAACTGGAAAAAAGAGTAGAAAAAGTAGTAGAATATTCGGTTTCCAATGAGAGTCATTCTTCACGATCCGCCCACGCATTGTTCTCCGCCAGGTTCGAGGCTTTTACGACAAATGAGGGTAGTTAAAACCCAGTTCATTTATTTTTTTTCGCCTTTGTCTATTTATTTGTTTGCTATAAATTTTACGCGTGAACTCTTTAGGGTTCGTTAATCGAATTTACAGCAGAAACTAGATTCCTTTCCTTTTTGAATGGCTCTCTCGCTCTTGGAACTCACCGTTTCACCTATCTTGACACTTTAACCCTGGCGGATATAATATTTTAGGATAAAACCTGCCTAAGGAAGAAATAAAATTCCGAAACGCGGCCGCCACGTCGGATTTATGTCGCACCGAGCGACGGTCAAGAACAAGATTTACGATCGACGACTCCCATAGCGGCGATCTTCCAGGATGGCATTCAGAAATGCCGCGAGAATTATTGGAGAACGTCTCTCTTGCTGCTTTCTACATATTTCTACGATACTACGACTCTTGACGTTTCGAAGATGTTAAGTTAGATCACTAACGCTGAGGGACTCGCGCGATCACGAATTCTAAATTGCAACTAAAGGCTGGTTCAAACCCGGCTAGTAATTTAGTCGAGTAGCGAGTAGCTACTTACTACTAAACCGATTAGCGCATAGAAAAGTGTCCGGACTAGTACAATTGAGCTTTGGAAATCGGCTGAACGCTTGACTAAAAAAATGCGTCCGGACAGATCTGTTCGGAAGCTTAGTTAGTGGTGGGAGAAGTCTAGTTAGGCTTCTATGAAACGGATCTACTCGACTAAATCGTTTTACTAAACTACTCGATTAAACTGTAGTGTCCATACATAGCAAGTTACTAAATTACTCGCCATTCGACTAAATTACCAGCCGTGTCTGAACGCAGCCTTAAGTCTAAGTACCGTGCGTCGCCGACCTTCCGGACGGATTCTTGGTACCAAAGGAAAGAACAGTAGAAAGAATCTTGGTAATTCTAGGAAAGCATAATGCAACAATCTGATGATAGAACAATTTTTGAAGTCTTTACTCCAAATAGGAGTTAGAAATCTTAAATTCTACGTTATAAAGCTTAAGTTCCATTTTATAACAATTTAAGTTGAAATCGCGTTACCTCAAATCTCCCGATTCTCTCTGACTGTAATCAACCATCAGACTGCAACTTTCCGTTCTGTTTTCCAAGCTTGGTGAATCTGAAAGCTGTCATCGTAGCCGATCGATAGAAACGGATGCAATCTTGTCGTTCCGGGAGAAACGTATCGAAGTGTCATCAAGCCCGTTCGAATGGTTCTCATTCACAAAGCTCTTGCATCAAGACGCGCGCACGTGTGTGTATCAGATTCGGCGCTCATTTTATGCATAACACAGTGGTGAATAACCGGAGCGGAAATTCAGCAGGCATTGTCTACGAGACGTGGTTCGCTCGACTCTGTCATTCGACTCGGTCTCTGCTGCTCGTCATCGTCATTATCATTGTTATCACCGTCGTGTCCCGGACGAGATATTCATCGTCTGCCGACTAGATACACGGCAAATGACGATTCGACTCTATGGAAAAGGGATACATTTCCTCTCTTACTCTTTTTATTTTTTTTTTTTTTTTTTCAATCAACAACATTTACCAACTCTGTTCGATGAAACGTTAATAACGACTTAGAAAATCAAAGATACATAAATTTTTTAAATTAATACAATATATCGCAATATTTCTATCCAGCTGGTCGCTATGTTATGATGGGTCATTGTCTCTCTGTCTGGAGAGACACGTAACAATGTCATCTGTCTTCCGCTGTGATCCATGTCCAGTGCATCATGGCGAAATTACCGGTACTAATACAGTGTCCATGGTATCGTCCAGCAACATACAGGACATTCACGCACGTGGTCAAATGGTCCAGGTGTGTAGCTACTTATCTGCGTGTCCAGCAACCACTCCTTTCCCAGCATCTCCAATTGTCATGGGACAGTGGGTGTCATCTGAAAAGCGAAAATTGCCATGTTAATATAATATATTGTTGCAAGGGTGAAGATTTATGTACAGGGTGTTCAAAAATACCCTAAAGACCTCTACACCGCTGGATAGATCACGAAAAATCGAAGTGAAACTGCGTGTCCAGCAACCACTCCTTTCCCAGCATCTCCAATTGTCATGGGACAGTGGGTGTCATCTGAAAAGCGAAAATTGTTATGTTAATATAATATATTGTTGCAAGGGTGAAGATTTATATACAGGGTGTTAAAAAATACCCTAAAGACCTCTACACCGCTGGATACGTCACGAAAAATCGAAGTGAAAAGCTCTGTATCATTTTTCGATGGAATCAGTAGTTTGGCCATATTTCGTTGTTGAAAATTGAAAAATTGATCAATTAGCGCGCAGCTTGAGTGGCAAGATCCACGGAGTAGAAGACTAACTTCCTCTACCGCTGATGAGCTGCGTCGCTGAACGTCGGCGTTTGCGCATGCGCCGCTGAGCGTTGCGCTTGCGCATGCGCCGAGAGTCTAATGGACAAATTACAATTTTCGTCTGTATCTTGTAGTAAAGATTGATATCGACCATATCCAAAAAACCATAAAATTGCTATCTTTACAATAGCAAACAACGTTTGAATTATTTAAATAATTAATTAATTCCGTCTCTACTAGACTCTCGGCGCATGCGCAAACGCGACGCTCAGAGGAGGCTGATTGGTCAATTTTCATCAATGAAATATGGCTAAACTACTAATCCCATCGAAAAATGCTACAGAACTTTCCACTTCGATTTTTCGCAATCTATCCAGCGGTGTAGAGGTCTTTAAGATATTTTTTCACACCCTCTATATAGTACTCTGTTAATTATTAAGAGTACAAAGATTGTTAGTGCAATGAAATAGATAAAAAGATTCTGGTATCTGGATGCAGGACAAAACCACTTGTCTGCAATATGGGAATTTTTAAGTAACATGGCTTGCTTCATAATAAAATCATATCGCGCCCATTACCTCCGGGGGGAAACTTTATGTGCATAGCTTTTACGAACTCTTCGTAGGAGCTTTTAAGACAAGCAGAAGTACCCATAAAGATGGATAGATAAAATTGTGAACGTACGAAGCTTCGTGTATAACGCTGCTACATTATATTCCGTAAATTGAGATAGAAAAAGAAAGGAAAATTGTCTGAAAAAAAAATCTACTCGTGTCCCTTTTATGGATATTTTTCAACCCCCCAAAATTAAATGAACTTTCGGTACAAGAAAAAATATAAATGAAAATTAAATGATCGAACACGTTAAAATTGTTTCAAGTAAGAAAATTGATCAAAAGATCCAAGGATTCACCATTCGAAAGATCGAATTAAATCATCGTTCTAGCGAGTATCTCGGCCACGAAATGAATCGAGGAAAGTTTCTATATGAAAGGGACTTCCGGTGGAACTTGAATCACCAACGGCGTCGTATGAACAATCGGCCTGTCCGTGTGTCTGTGTGCGAACGGACACGCGGGAAAAGGGTGAATTTCCCGTGGAAAGTTTGAGAATGCGAGGATCTCTTACCGGTGTGCTAAGGGGTGAAATATTGAATCTCTCGGGGGCCAGAGAAAGAAATGTAACTCGCATTTTCTTTTTCGTGCTTCCTCGAAGGCTCGCGGCGTAGCGGCCGCCACTTCCGTTTCCGTTCTCCTTTACTAACCTAAACCGGTGCTAGAAGTATGGTCGTATACGGATCCTCGATGGTCCTCGTCATACGTGCTCGACATACTCTTTCCAAGTTTATGACAGCTGGTTCGTGTACCAGTGAATGGTTTATCGATCGACCATCCTGATCGACGCTCTGTGAATCCTCTTGGCACACGGGAACGTGATGTAAAGAGCGAAATTTCATACGATGGATTCACGTTCAATCTCTACTTGCTCGCCTAAAACCGTTCGACCTATTGTTTCGGAGCCATTACTGAATTCTAATTAATTTTAACTTTGGAACTTTCCATGCAGAGTAAATGTTATTAGGGAATTAGAGAATTAGAATGTTTGAATATCAGGCCGAATGTTAGAAAGATGGAATATTAGAAAATTGGAAAACTAGGAAAGTGGAATTCTAGAAAAGGAGAGAAGTAGAAAATTGGGATACTTGGAAAAACAGATGAGTGGAATATTAGAAAATTGTAATACTAGAAAAGTGAAAAATTAGAAAATTGGAATACTAGAAAACTGGAAAATTAGAAAAGTGGAATTCTAAATAAGGAGAAAAGTAGAATATTGGGATACTTGGAAAAACAGATGAGTGGGAAATTAGAAAATTGTAATACTAGAGAACTGAAAAATTAGACAATTGGAATATTAAAAAAGTGGAATTCCAGAAAAGGAGAAAAGTAGAAAATGGGATACTTGGAAAAATAGAAGATGAGTGAAAAATTAGAAAATTGTAATATTAGAAAACTGGAAAATTAGAAACACCAGAAACTTAGAATATTAAAAAGAAACCTTGAATAATATTTTAGAGGTTGAATAATCATTCAGACGATATCGTAAATAATGATTTAATCGTCCTTTGTTCCTCGTACGAGAGTAAATTTTCCTATTCTCCTATTTTTGATTTAATTCGTCATTTATCTTCGTTCTTTCCCTTGTTTATTCCTATTCTCCGTTGGTGAACGTGTTTTTTTCATCCCTAGCTACAGTCGAGGTGACCAGAGAATAAGAGCAAATGGTTCGTAATTTACGACGGTCTTTCCGGACACTTTACGCGCGTACTATCACACCCTCCTACCCTTCTCTATTTATAAAACGAATATCGTACATCACGATTTCTTCAATTACGTAGCAGATTTTACGATTCCCTTCTGCTTCCTAGTAAACTCGAAACAAAAGATATTTTGTTGAGTTTCCATAGCTATACAATACGAAGCAGGGCAAATAACTTCTTTTTTATTTTTTATTTCTTGCAAGAATTTATTGTCCCTAGTTGAAAATTTCTAAATGGTTGCATATAAAAGGACTCCATAGAAAATTCAATATAAAAGAGATACATAATATTGGAAAAGAAGAAATTGAAAACATTTTACAATCTCCAGAGTTCATTTATAAATTTCTCTTCTAGGTAACTCCAAATAACTTTGAAAAAGGTGATGTTTCACAATTGCTTTGATTTTAATCCCCTAATCCCGTGTAGCGAGTAACGAGTGCGGCGAGAAAAACGACGAAAAGTTACGATAAATCTAGTCCTGCGGTGACGATGGCTGTGCTGTTCGACAAATCGATCGAGAAAAAAAAAAAAAGAAAAAAAAGAAAAAAAATGGTTTTGCTAGCCGTAACGAATAAAGCTCTCCATTCATCACGTTCGTCTTGTTAATCCACATCGCGATCGGTTAGAAATCGGTGACCACTCTTCTCCCAGAAATCGAGTTTCACTTCGTTAGAATAAAATAATAAAAGAACATGAAAATACCAAAGAAACTCAAAAGCTTCAAAATAATTGAACACTCGATACCTGTTGAAACGTTTCATCATGTTCAACCTTAAAAATAATAAAAATGAACCTGATCCCAGAGAAAAGCAACAAACCCATGTTATTAATGATAACAATGAAATTTTCACCTTCGTTATACCTTGCTACGTGGAATTACCTAAATCGTATGAAACCTTGGCGGTGTAATAAAAATGTTCACCGTATCTGCCGTTAATAAAAAGGGGCTTCAAAAGTGCAACGGGGAAGAAGCAGCTATTATTAATAGAGAAGCATGCTCCTTTTTTATCCTTCACTGAGAGAAGAAAAATTTGCTGGATCAAACAAGCATCATGATACTCTATTCTCGTTGATGAAAAAAATGATCGGGAATTAGGGATGAACAGAGTAAGAAATTCAGGCGTTGATAAGCAAGTTTTCTTTCATTCCTCTGCTACGCGAGACGGTTGGCCAGAAGTGAAAGGGGGAAAAAAAAGGGTAGAGCGAAATGTGGCTGGAAATTTTACCACGAGTGAAAGTGTGTTGGCAATTGAAAATTTTTGACCTCACCTTTGAAACGAGCAAACGCTTATTTCGCTCCCCTTTTCACGGTGAATGCGTGGGAAAACGTGTACGTGTGTATATATGTGTATGGAACCGGCGGACAAGCACGGCAAACTATCTTTGAAACTGCGACGCCACGCTAAAAGTGTGCCTGATAAAAGTTGCAGTGGTATGATAAAACGCTTCTCGACGATAGGAAGTGCTAGGTCTTTTTTCCTTATGCTCCTCGGAAAATACGCTTTTTCAAAGAGAGTGACGGGTCGCGAGAGAAAGATTTATTTGCCATTTTTTCCGGGCCGAGTTTAGGGGAAAGTTTTGGACGGATTCGGAATAATGCTTGGGGAAAATAATTCCGGGGTTTTAATATCGGCCGACGGGTAGGAGACTTTTATGGTAAGCTGAATTTATTGTTCGCGATTTGTTTTGTTTCGCCGGTTAAACCGATCGATTCCCTCGGAGCCCTCGATCGCGATCCCTCGCTACTTAATTGCTCACCTTAGCCTTTCGATAGAAGACGTTCCGGTGGATATCACGTTCGAGGAAATGGTTTGAAGCGAGCAAGCTTTCAACGTTCCCGTCGCCATTAACGCTCGAGTGTATTTAGTTTGCCAGCGAGCTCGAACGTGGACGAGTAGCAGCAACAGTAATAAGACAGGTGGAGAAAGGAAGAAACGCGAACTGGCACGGGCCGAAACAAGCGGGCAAAGAAGGTGAGAAAGAACAGAGGAGAAAGGTGAGAGAGAGAGAGAGAGAGAGAAGGTCCACGGAGATGGAGAGCTCTCAGCAAATTGGAGAGTCCCGGGTCTTTTCTATTGCGTGCCCGTTTCCATTCGCACGGAAACATCGGCGCGCCCCTGTTTCCTCCCTTTTCAACTTCCCTCCGATTCTTTCTTTTTTTTTTCTTCTTCTTCTCCTTCCGTCGCTTTTTACCCACCTCTACTTCTCGTTCCGTTTCAAACCGTGGCCTCGTTCGTTTCGTCGCGTACTCCGAGAAAATAAGTGGCCTGGTCTAGCAACGAGGGTCACTTATCGTCGCGGGCCATCTGAGGTTGTTAGGGAAAGTCTGCTCTTCCGTGGACGATACAAGCGCGGCTCAATTTTATCACAAGACGGCGATAATTATTCCTATCGACAGCGGGGAGGTTGATTTTTGGGGAGGAAAGTGAGATTCTAATTTATTGG